ATCCTGGTCTTGTTGGTTTTTCCGTTTGGGGAGGCGTGAATGGCTGATTAGTGTGCGCAGCGTGTACGGGAGGACATTCTAGAGTTCTCGATCGGGACCTTTGATTCTGAGGGGGACGTTGTTGGGCGAGCGAGGTAGGTTTGTCGTGTTCCCCATTCACACCCCCCTTTCTCCCCATCCTCCCTCCCATCAACTCACACACACACTAACCCAACCCCCCACCCAGGCAAATCGAAGCCCAAGCCACAGCAACCTGGGACGCGCTCCCGGCACACCTACGCGCCGACGACGACCCCGCCGCTGCTGCTGCGCTTGCGTCCGCGCCCCCGGTCGAGTGCCTCTACCTCGTGTTCATCCGCCTCGAGAGTCTGCATAATGAGTTTTTGCTGTGGAGGGCTGTGCTTAGGCATACTGCTTCCACCATTACTACCACAACCACGAGCGAAACCCGCGCAACCGCGTCCACCAAAATGCTCCTCGCCGCGCAAAAACTGCTCGATGGCGTCGTCGCCGCCGCGGGGCGCGGCGAGCTCTGTCTTGCCTTCCAGGACGCGTGGACGATGCTGACGTCGCCGGGTCTGCCTGCTGCGTGCGCTGTTGCTGCTGAGCTGGTGCGCTTGCACAAGCATGAATATACTCACACTTCCTGTTCCCGTTTACCTTCTTCTTCCCCTGCGAATGCAGACGGCTCGAATGCGGGGCATTCGCCCCTCAACCGCTCCCACGCAATCCAGTCCCTAGCCGTCTATCTCGCGGCGCTGGCGCGGATCCCGCCCCTCGACCCGGCGGCAAGAATCTGTAAAAGGGGAAAGGCGTTCTTGGCTAAGGCGCTGGAGCACGTGCTTGGCGGTTCGGGTCCGGGTCCGCTTCCTCATCGTCCTCCGACGGAGGGGAGTGCGGCAGCGGCGAGTGGGGAGGAGGCTGGGGTGGAGGGCAGTGCAGACACAAACGCAGCCGCGCGCACTGCTAGTATAGAGGTAGAAGGGGCACGGGAAGCGGTGCCAGCGCGCGACGAGCTGCCACTCTGGACAGCCGACCTCGACGCGTTCGGCTTTGGCGATGATTACGACGTGTTGGGCTTGGGGGAGCTGGGGTGGGTGGGTGGGTCTGGGTCTGGATGGGGCTTTGGTGAGGATGGAGGCATGGTGTGGTAGCTTGTTTGGTTTGAGTGGTTTGGGTAGTGTGTTGGGTGGGTGCGGTTAGGTAGCCGTACAGGCAGAACTTAGTGAAAGGCCAACTACGCATAACGATTCAAACAAACAAGCAAACACGCAAACATATACCACCTCCCCCGCAACCAGCAAACCAACGCACCGTCCAGCACCCTACCTACCTCTGTGCCTACAAAAAAAAAAAAAAAAACCAAAACAAAAAGCCACACGAGCACGATACTCGTATGCAACATCCCATCTGTAGGTACCTATAGCGATACACTTTCTCGTTTCTCTATTATTGTTCAAACCGCACGTACACCACCTTCTTCGCTCATCACTCTTCGCTCTTCGCTCTCTACTGCTGCTGCTGCTGCTGCTGCTACTGCTATATACTACTACTGCTACTGTTACTAACCAACTGACGAACCACCAACCTATACGATACACAACGCATCAACTTCACGTCCACGTCCACGACCACAACCACAACCACAACCACAATCATAAAGTATTTAGGAGTAGACACAGCATATAATCAGTCAACCAATTCTCCCATTCTTTATTCTTTACTTTTGTCCTTTTCATCCCCCCCTAGTCCCCTCCCCTCGCTCCCCTGTCCAAACTACAAACCCACAGACCAACAGACCTACAGACCTACGGCAACTTTGTGTCTTGTTACGATGTGTTGTTGTACCTTGTACAGTAGCAAGCGAAGCAAGCATAGCAAGCATAGCAAGCATAGCAAGCATAGCAAGCAAATCAAATCAAATCAAAAGAACAAACAACCAAGCAAGTAAGCCAAAAAAAAAAAAAAAAAAAAAAAAAAAAAAAAAAAAAAAAAAAAAAAAAAAAAAAAAAAAAAAAAAAAAAAACAAGCCAAAACAGGCTTTCTTCTTCCCTATCAATCAACCATCGAGCATCGAGCATCGATTGCCACACACCACCTTCGCGTCGCCGCCTTCATCGTCGTCGGCGGGAATAAGTAGAGCTAAGAAGATCAACAACACAACGAGGCAACCGCTTTCCAATCCCCTTGCCACCACACCACACCACGCACTACTAGTACCGGGAGCCTACAACAACAACCCCCTCTCTCTCAAAGCATGTATGTACACACACACGCACACACGCTTAATCCTCGGTCAAATCGCCATACTCCCAAATGCCCTTCCGCTCAGCCTTGGCCTCCTCCTCGCGCTCCTTCAGCACAGCCAGCACGTCGCTCGCCGCGCGCTCCCACGCCTTCAGCTTCCGCGGCACCATGGCGTACCCGCCCGCCACCACGTCGCCGTTGAGGTGCTCGTCGCGGTTCTGGCTTTCCGGGTCGAACAGCGTCACGTACAGGCTGCCGTCGGCAATGTTGTCCACGTTGGCCACCATCTGCCGCCCCGCCGTCTCGTTCGCAATGAAGTCGACAGCGTCGCGTAGGTAGTCGGCCGACGTCGGGAATTGCAGGAACGAGAGCACCGCGTCAATCGCCTGCGCCTTCAGCGTCGATGTACTGAACTGCGCCGGCAGCGGCCGCAGCCGTCCGTACGGAATCGTCTCCGAGTTGCCGTAGTCGACGTACACGACCTCGACCTTCTTGGCCTCGCGGTCGTTGCGCCTGATCTTGGCGCGGTACCACTCGTCGTCCTCGGTGAAGCGCGCCGACACAAAGTCGCCCGCCTTGACCGTCTCGACGCCCTTGGCGTTGGCGCTGTTCTGGTGGAACTTCCGGAACGAGTTCATCAGCTCCGTCAGCGCGCTCGTGCCGCTTCCGACCTCCTGGATCTTCAGCTTGCCGTTCTCGTCGACGTTGGTGACGACGACATCGCGGTAGTCCTTGCGGCGCTCGGCGGTCACGGCAGCGCCGTTGCTGCCGTTGGTCTGCTCGACGGGAGCCTCCTCCTCCTGCTCGTCTTGCGAGGGGTCCCAGTTCTGCCACATGCCCTTGCGGCCCTCCTTGGCCCTCTGCTCCGCAGCGAAGAGCTCGTTCGCGTTGCCAGACTTCTCGGCGGAGTAGGCGTGCACCGAGGCAAGGCCTTCCTCGACCAGCAGCTTGGCGAAGCTCTCGCGGTTGATATAAAGAGTTCCAATGAAGCCGCCAACCTTGTCAAGGTCCTCGACATCAATCTCCACATCACGCTGCTGGCACCTCTTGTTGGCGAAATCGTGGGCCTCCTGGCCGAATGGCTCGCTCTTCTCGTTGGGGTTGCGGGCAGACCTGGGGGCGCGGATACCAGAGAGGACGAAAGTGAGCTTGGCATTCTCGCGGGGAACGAGAACGGTGAAACGAGAGCCAGACTTGACGAAGTCGACAACCGCAGGCACCTTCTTCTGCCTCGAGAGCAGGGTGAGCTGCCTCTTAGCCTTCTCCAGGCTCTCCGAGTAATCCACGTATTGCTTGGTAGAGGGCCCCTTGGGAGACCACATGCCCTTCTTCTCCGCTTGCGCCTGCTCCTCAGCCTGAAGTAGATCGTCGTAAATGGGGCTGCGGTCAGAGTCGTCGGCGCGGTGCCTGATGACCGATGCGTAGCCGTTCTCAACCAACAGAAGACCAATGTTCTTGCTGTTGAGAGTAACGGTGGCCATCTCGCGCTCGTCGTAACCCTCGGTGGCGGGGCGCTTGCCATCAATGACAACCTTGACGTGCTTGCCAATCAGGCGCTTGCGTAGGAATTCCTTGGCCTCAGCGCCCCATGGTGACTGCTTGGGATCCGAAGGCTTGGGCTGCCTGACGCTGCTCAAGTTGACGCGCTTCTCGACTCCGTTCTTGTTGCGCAGGTATAGAGTGTCGGCAGTTTGCACCCTGCTAACCACAACCTCGACCTCGTTGCCGGCGCTCGGCCTGGCGGCGACGTGGCCCTGGTAGATGCCCAACCTCTGCTCCTTCGCATGACGCTCAGCCAGGCGCAGCTTGCTCATTTCCTGACCCAGCAGCGTGACGTGTTGGTCCGCACACCTCGCAAGACCGGCATCGAGCAGGAAAGGCGCGACGTTGCCCTTCTGGGGGTGCTTGACGCTGGCGATGAGCTGGTTCTGCGGGCTCACACCAAGAGGGGAGAGCTTGACGGTCCGCTGGAGAAGGCGCGATTCGATGAAGAACTGTGCGTCGTCGCCGAAGGGTTCCGCGGGCTGCTCTTTTCCGTCCGAGGGATTTATCCGCTTGGTCGAAGGGGCGCGGACACCGGCAACGAGGACCATCGTCTGTATGTGCTTGTTCGGGGACACCAAGATGCGCGCAATGAGGCGGTCGCCGCTGAGAACCTTCTCAACAATGGCTGTTTCCGGGTTAGCCACAACCCTCCCAAATATGGATATAACTTACCATCCAGGTCCTGGCCCTTGTGTTGGCTCAAGAAGCCCTGCGCGTCCGGAAGGTCGAAAGAAGTTTCAATGCGGCCGCCAGTCTCAGCCCACAGGCCCTTCGAGTCCGCCTTGGCCCGCGCCTCGAGAGCCTCGAGCTTGGACAGCAGTTGTTGTGACGCCTCCGAATCGTCCTTGCGGTCGGCATCGTCGCGGAGTTTCACCCAACCCTCAGCAAGCGCGAGCTCGGGGACCTGCGGGCCGTCGCCGGCGAGAGCAACCAGTCCGTAATCACGCTTGGCTCCGGTGGGAATGGTGTACAGGACCTTGAACTGTACGACCCTTCCGACAAGGAGACGGCGCAGGAAGTCGCGAGATTCGAAGGCGAAGGGCTTCGTTGGAAACAAAAGTTAGCTTGAGCTGCGCATGAGGGGTAGGATTGGAAAGGATGGCGAAGCAAATGCGCATAGCCGCAGCTTCTCCGCGATCCAACCCAGGAAACCGGGATTGTTGTATAACGTACCTCATCGCCCTCTCTCCTTAACCTAGGCGCAGAAACGAAGGCGAGGCTCAAGGTGCGCTCTTGCTTCGGGTTGTTGATGTTGTGCAGGACGATGGTGTCGCCGGAGAGCACGCTCTTGACCTTTGCCTGGAAGAGAGCCATGATTGATCGATCGATTGGTGCTGCTGAAGGCGCATTGAATGTTAGTTCTGTCATTGAAAGCTCCAGGCGTCTGGCGTGACACTCACACGAGCTGTTACTTTTCGAGGAATGGATGCAAATGCTACACAATCCCAGTGACAAGGAAGACAATTCCTTTTCTAAGGACCAATTTGTGAGATTGCAAGTTGAGGACAAGGGAGGGAGGTGGCGGAGGTAAAGTTGTTGATGGGAGTTCTTAAGCTTGGGATGCGAAGTTGTGGGGTTCGGGTTGTCTGGCCTTTTCGTCACCGACCTCAATTAGGGGCCCGAGCTCGGCAATCCTCCGCCTTTCACGCATGCAGGACCGCTCAGAGCAGTCACCTTTTCAATCCGCCCCGTCAGCAGACAGGATCGGCACCATAAAAACACAACAGAGAGCACAATGGCAAGCTAATTCGCGTAGATCACAGTTGCTTAGATTAGGAAGTGCTAGAACTATGTTCTACGATACGCAAAGCCGTTTACATCGTCAAGGGCCAGCATTAGTCCCTAAATTTATTGTTTATGCGCTGCATGTCCGCGCTTAACCGGAGATACCAATGACACCTGTGTAACCAATGCATTAGCGGTCGGGCCCCGGTTGCTCGTCGCAAGGAATATAAACTTACCGCAGGCAGGGCGGGTGCCAGCGTTGCCGGTCTTCTTGGACTCCTCGTTACCACCCTTGCCGAGGTCGTCGGTGCCGGAGTGGACAACGACAGTGCGGCCAATGACGCTCTCGGGGCCAACGAGCTTGATCAGCTTGTCGGCAACGGAGCCCTTGGCGTTACCCTGGCCGTCGGTCTTGAAGTTGCCAAGGTCACCAACGTGGCGCTCCTCGTCGGCGGGAGCACCGTGGGTCTTGCCGTGGGGGTTGACTGCGGACATCCCTTTGTCAGCAGCAGTTCTTCCAAAAAACTTCAACCGGCATCAATATCCAAGGGTCGGGATTCTTACAGTGGGGGCCGGCGGAGGTGCAGCCGTTGGTGTTGTCACCGAAGGCGTGAACGTGCATGCCACGCTCGGCGTTGGCATCGTTACCGGAGATGTCCCAGGTAACGGTGGTGGGCTCAGCCTCGGAGGCCTGCTCGAAGGTGACGGTGCCCTTGACGTTAGAGTCACCACGGAGGACAGCAACTGTTTTTGTTCAAGTGCTCGTTAGCCAGCTGTTCCACGACATTGGGCCGCCAAGTCGACACCTTGATGGGCGGCAGACGGGTACCATTCCCATCTCAGCACGTAGCAGGGCGTATCACAACGATCACGCCCGCAGCTGATCCATCAAGGTGCCGCTTGATCTGATGAAATCGGCCAATTGAGGTGTCGAGAGCGACGGCACCGAACATCATCCCTTGAGAACATGCTCAAACACGCTCAACGGTGCCCCACTTCCGCTCAAAGGGTCCAAAGAGCCTCATGAAACAAACAAAAGTTATCTGACTTACCAGCCTTGACCATTTTGACGGTTATAGATGGGTTTTGGAGGGTTTGATGAGTCTTTCTGAAGCTTGAAGATGGAGGTGAAGAGTTTCGTAACTCAGAGAATCGAGCGGAGTTGTCATTGAGCGGGGCTCTCAGAGCTCTGACGCGATTACATCAGAAAGCATATCTCCGAAGCTCCCACCCGCCAATCACCGTCGCCACAGCCCTCGGCGAGTGTGTTCCGCTCGGAAATGGCTGTTCGCGTCACTTTGCAACATGTCTTCACCATTTGCGGCCTCGGGATCATCGTGTCGCGTTCAAAAGGAGGTCTATTTTTTTGTGGCGAAAGTCACATGCTAACTAATAGGTTTATCATCAACGTCAAAAATTGCTAAAAGACAATCCAAGCTCAGTGCGCCGTTCAGTCTGCCCGCAGCCCCGATATCGGATCAGCAATTTAAGCCTTCTGGAGCCTCTCGCGGAGGATGTCCTTGAGGGTGACCGCGTCAGCGGCGAACTTGGAGATACCCTCACGGAGCTTCTCAACAGCCATCTGCTGCTCGTTGAAGTCGAAGCGGAAGAGGGCCTCGTCGTTGATGTAGCTCTTCTTCTCAATGTCGAGCTTGGCGGTGTCCTCGGAAGCCAGCTTCTTGGGGACAGCGTCCTGGGAGTTGTAGAGCTGCTCAAGGAGGTTGGGCTGCAGCAATCGTTAGCGCTTGTTCGGCAGATCAGGGCAAGTAAACTTACAGCAATGGTGAGGTAGTCGCAGCCAGCAAGCTCGGTGATCTCGCCAATGTTACGGAAGGAAGCACCCATGACGATGGTCTTGTAGCCGAACTTCTTGTAGTAGTTGAAGATGTGCTGGACGGACTTGACACCGGGGTCCTCGCTGGCGGAGTACTCCTTCTTGTTGGCGGCCTTGTACCAGTCAAGGATACGGCCGACGAAGGGAGAGATGAGATAGGCGTCAGCCTCGGCAGCAGCAATGGCCTGCTCCAGAGAGAACATGAGGGTCAGGTTGCAGTTGATGCCGTGGTCCCTCTGCAGGATCTCGGCGGCCTTGATACCCTCCCAGGTGGAGGCGATCTTGATCAGGACACGGTCCTTGGAGATACCCTCCTGCTCGTAGAGCTGCGAAATGTCAACTTCGATTGTTCGTTGTATCACTGGCTAGAAAACGCACCTTGATGATCTCAAGAGCCTTGCTGACCGAGGCCTTGGTGTCGAAGGAGAGGCGGGCATCAACCTCGGTGGAGACCTTGCCGGGGATGAGCTTGAGGATCTCCTTGCCGAACTGGACGAGGAGGTTGTCGAGGGTGGCCTCGATCTGCTCGTCGATGGAGCCGCCCTTGGACTTGCCGTACTGGGCGGCAGCGTCGATGAGCTTGGCGTACTCGGCCTTCTTGGAGGCGGCCAGGATCAGGGAGGGGTTGGTGGTGGCATCCTGGGGGGTGTACTTGGAGATGGTGGCGAAGTCACCAGAGTCGCAGACGACGGTCTATACGGAGGTGAGAGTCAGAAAAGGCGGTTGAGAAGGGGGCGCGAATTGTTGGGAGATCGTATCGCGACGCATTCCGCCAGTACCGGCGGCGCCGGCGGCGGGGTAGGTGTTGAGGGGTTCAGCGGGGCAAAACTTACGGTGCCGGAGGACTTGAGCTGCTCGAGGGAGGAAGGCATGTTGGGAAGTATGTGGTGGTGATTGGAGGTGAAGAGTGATTTGGGGGGTATCAAGAAGGGAGAGGTTGTGGTGAGGGTGAGATGCGAAAGGAAGGATTAATATGTAGGGCGGCGTCGCGGTGGGGTTTTCAATCGACCGTCGATGTCACAGGGTGGCGCTCGGGCTGGAATAAAGGCGGACCGCTGCAGGGAAGACGCGCTGCATGGCTGCCGACACGTCAATCGCCGTCACATCCACCCTCTGTCATTCAGCCCTTTGGTCGGCGACGGGCCTGCCGCTACGCTGCAACTGTCTACGCTCCCGCCCGCCGGCTTCTTTCGCCTTCTGCCTTGGTCCACGACCTTGACCTTCGTGCCAACGTTCTGGCCGCCTTCTGACAAAGCGCGTCGGCGCCGGCCCGCCAAGCGTTCGCCTTGCGGGATAAACTCAACACGACTCGTTGCCTTGGGCAATTCCCGGCGCATCCACGGGCATTTTACACCGGTTCGGCCTGCGTCACTGCTTGCCCGCTCCGACAGCGCCGCCGACGGGTAGTCGTGGCCTCTTCAAACACCGTGACGTGGGGGTTCCCGGGGCCACCTGCTCGCTGTATATCTCTCTCCTGACCTCTGCCATTGACTACTCGCTTCACATGGGCTTGTTGTGCTACGTCTCATCCTTTTAGCCAGGATCCTGCCAATTTTTCCGGATCTGCATCTCCGCGGTCCAGCCCTACGGACCTGAACTTCAATATTTCCGCCTTATCGCGCAACACCCACTCACCACGACGTGGATAGGGGCAAGGGAGTGGCTGAAGGTAGGATCTCAGGCCTGTCCTCCTCAAAAATGTCTCATATGTCGGACGAGGCTGTGATCGTATGGTCGAGTCTCAGTAAGCTGCATATTTCTCGGCGTTCAATACGAATGACGCTCCTACAAGGGGCAATGCTCGTTACTTCAGCAATACATGGATTTTGGACGTCCAGTTCAGCCCCGGAATACACGGATTCAAGCCGAGCCAAGGGCTTACGTCAAGTCACGTATGGTTGTGTTACTTTCTACAGGCCAATGAATCCGCCGAGCTAAGATATTTGTGTTTGCGTCCAATTGATGGCTAACCTAATATAATCGTTATGTGTCGGAATCGCGGCCGACGTTCTTTGCAACAACGACGGAACGCGACATGTCCAGCCAGTCTACGGGATCCAGAATTCAACAAGATCCGCCAAGCCAGAGTTAAAAAGACCCTTTGCTCCAGCAACCCGGCAGCGGACGCTTCTCCCACGAAGCGGTAGTAAGGACTTGATGTCTTTCTCAGGATGAACGGCTTATCAGCCCCGACAAATTGGCACTCCAATTCGTCTTTCCTAGTATCTTCAAGAGCTAGGCCGAAAAAACCTCCCTTGTGACTATAAAGGAGCGTTTGGTACAAAACCGGCCAGGTATGAGACCACGATCTTCTTTGCAGGGACACCCTGCTGTTGAACACTTGTTCCCTCTTAAAAAAAGACTTTCTAGGTTTTCCCAACGACCAAAGGCTCGGAGGGAACGAGATACAAACCCCGCGCCAGTGCCTTGGGGCAGAAAATCAACGAAGGTAGCAAATCCGACCTCTTTACCCTTACGTGGTGCGGACATATGGAGTTACTACGAAGTGTCTGGGTAACGCGGAAGCTTGTCGGCTCTACAAAATGCTAATACCAGTCGGTGATGGTTTGTGTATCATGGAGTTACTTTTTGAGATGTGCAAAGGTCACTACTACTACATAGGTAGGTAATTTTAGCGTACAGCACGAAGCTGGCACCAGTTGCATAGACGCGGAAAGTCTGACTTGCAAGCACGGTGCTCGAAACCCACCATTACAAGTACGTACTCCAGATGCCTTGGCCCGGCTGGTACCAGGTCTGGGAAGGTCGTCAAGCAGTTACGCCTCTCCCTCCTCTTTCCCTACATTCAGCCTCAGCTTCAGCCTCAACATCTACACAACAAGCACCCGCACGCCCTTCGAGCCATCCCTGGGCTTCGGGAGAAACATGTCGCGATGCACGCGCACGTCGTCCTCGTCCGTCTCGAAAAGCTGCAAGCGTGCGCCCAAGCGGCGCAGCACGGTCGCGAGCGTGATGTACAGTTCCGCGTACGCCAGACTATCATGACAAGATTTTGTTAGCAAATTTAAACCAGCACACCACACCACACGGACACGTGGAAAGGGTAAGCAAGTGGGAAACAAGGGTCGAGGAAAGAGGAAGGAGACGAAAGAGACCACGCACTTCATGCCCAAGCACTGCCGCCCGCCCCGCGAAAAACTCAGCAAGCACCGCTCCATCTCGCGCCGCTGCTCCGCGGTCGCAACCAACCACCTCTCGGGCCAAAACCGTTCCGAATCGGGGAACACGCGCGCGTCATGGTGCACCAGCACCGCGGTCATGCCTACAGGCGTGTTGGGCGGGATCACGACATCTACGTCCCCGAAGGTTTCTGCACCAGAGCCGGGCCCAGAGCTCGACCGAAACCGCAAAGGCACGGGCGCGACCCGCGCCAGCCGCGTCGCGAGCCCGTACGACAGGCGCAAGCCCTCAGCGACTGTCGCGCTCAGGAGCGGCAGCTGCTCGAGCGCGCGCCAGGAGGTGGCGTCGGGGGCGGTGGTGAGCAGCTCGGTGCGCAGGTTCTCAAGGAGGGCGCAATTCGCGAGCACGTGGTAGAGGATGACGCAGAGCGTCCAGGCTGTTGTTTCCGTACCTGTTTATGGGGAAGGTCGGGGGTTAGCGTGGTTAGGGGGGATATGGATATTGGGAAGGGGAAGGGGACGCACCGGCGCCTATCACGGCCTGCCCTTCCTGCGACAGTCGCGCCGTCTTCTTCTCCTCGGGCGGGAGATCGCCGCGCAAAACCTCGTGGAAGATCGTCCGCTGCAGTTCCGCCTCTCCCTCCTTCTTTTCCCCACCAGCACCAGCACTCCTCTTTTCCTCCTCCTCAATCCTCCCCACCACCCGCCGCATCTCCCGCTGAAAGCCCATATACCCCGCCATGCCCGGCATCGCCCACAGGACCCACGCATCCGGCACCCTCCGCAGCAACGGCAACAACCACGGCAGCATCTTCATGGTCGCGCCCATCTTCATCCCGCCATCAATGCCCTCTCTCAGATTCGGCCGAAACGCCCTATTCTCCAAGAACCCATAACTCCGCCCAAACGCATACGCGCTGACCACATCCGTCGCCAGACAGCTGAACGCGTCGCACAAGTCGACCACCTCGCCCGTCCCCGCATACGTCTCCAGCTGGTCGCACAGCGTGCGCGCGCACCGCCCCAGCAGCGGCTCCAGCGCGCACACGCTCTGCCGCGAGAAGAAGCGGTTCAGCGCGCCGCGGCGCAGCCGGTGCAGCGCGTGCGACGCCGTCCCGAACCCCGACGCCGGCAGCCCGAACTGCCGCGTGTAGAAGGCGTGTTTGTCCCGGACTTGGCTGCCGGGAGCGTATAATGTGTCTATAAACGCCGTATCACTAACGTGCAGTTCCCACGGCGAGATCCTGACGATAGGCCCGTAACGCTTATGCATCTCCCCAATGCGCCACGTATACTTCCCCCCACGAAGCCCATCGTGGTAGAACTCATACCACCTCGTCAGCGCCGCGAGTTTCGGGCCCGGGAAGCGTGCTAGTGGCGATAGGTACAGCCTGTACGCGGCCGTGGCGAGGCAGTACAGCAGCAGCGCTGCTAGCGCGGACGCTGCGAGGGGGTGGTTGGGCATGAGGGCGGGATGGTGGTGAGGTTGTTGGGGCTGGTGGTGCTGCTCCATCGTGCTGTGCTGTGCTGCTGTAGCAAAGTAAAGTTAGTAGGTAAAGTAGTCAAGTGGCGCGAACCCGCCTTCTTATCATATCAACCCACGCACCCAGATCGCCAGCAAGGATCCCCGTCCCCGTCCCTAGTCCCGGTCCCCGCTCCCGTTTGAGGCGTCCTCCTCCGAGTCGGCCGTTGTACCTGACTCTCCACCAAACCCCGGAAACTGTTGAGCATCCACACCCAAGCTGCAGCTTACCACATAGTTAACATGCATTCACAAATGACAAAACAAAGACAAGTGCAAGAAACAAACAATTCAAAGTCATTGATGCTTTTCAAAAAAGACTCGGTAGGGTGATAGGACTAAGACAGAGAAACAAGCAACACCCCGCTTCACTCATCCCAAACTCCGCCTCTCCGCCGCAATGCCATGATGACTGAGTTGACTGCCGTGATTCCTGCCCCGGGAACTGCTCGTTTCATTCATTGTCCTGGTTGAGCCACCTTGGAGCCTTCTTCCGGAGAGGCAGGGGAATCGAAACGAGGAGATCCCTCATCGTCACTCAACGGGGAGCCAGCCTCCTGTTGGTCGTCCTCCTCGTCTCCGTCCACCTCATAGCCATCATCGTCCTCTTCATCATCATCATCATCATCATCATCATCCTCTTTTTCGTCAGCATCCTCTTCGTCGTCGTCCTCCTCGTCCTCATCATCATCGTCCTCCTCGTCATCGCTCTCCTCGTCATCGCTATCCTCGTCCTCGTCGCTGCTATCATCCTCGTAGTCATCTTCCTGGTCGCCATTCTCTTGGTCATCATCTTCCTGGTCATCGCCGTAGTGATGTACCATCTCGTGGCGTTGTTCCAAAGAAGCAGGCGGATGGACACGGGTAGGCAAGTTGTTGTCATCATCTAGGCCGTCATGATCCAGAACTTCCTCTTGATCATCGTCCTCTTGGTCATCCTCTTGGTCGTTGTCTTCCTGGTCGTCGTCCTGGTCGACGTCCTCTAGGTCGTCCCCTTGATCTTCCTCTTGATCGTCTTCTTGGTCACCCTCTTGGTCATCCTCTTGTTCGTCGTCCTGGTCGTCATCATCACCAGGGATTCCGGAACGATCGTCCATTGACCTCGAAGCATCTCTCAGTGCTTTCACACCGCTTTTGGCCAAGCCGTGGGGCCCCAATATCGCTTCCTCATTCTCCCAAGTCGAACGAGCGCATTCAATGTCGTAGTAGACGAAAGAACTGGCTGGCCAAAGGGTGACATCCAACTCTTCGACGTACTTCGTGAACAGATAGCAGTGTTTGTGACGCCGCAAGTAGGCGACAGATCTGCAGTGCAGCGTATTCAGGCAACCGGAAACGCATGCCGTCAGGTCTTGGTTAGCGCGATTGATGTAGGCATGCTGGAGATACCATTAGTAACGTGGAGCGACAGTGAAGGAAAGTGAGTGAGAGGGCAGTGGAGAAGACGAGGTTGGCTGTGCTGCACAAACCTCGATGTTCTTCACGCCCCAGGCCACGCAGATTGGAAAGCCCATCAGTTTCACAGTTGGGGTTGAATCCGCTGGGGCAGCAGCTGAACCCGCTAGCAAGGCCGAGAGAGCCCTCTCCTCGGTCACCGTCGGAGGCATCGGCGAAGAGGGCCATTGGGGAGTTGACCACATTCCAGCCGGGGACGTCTCGAGGCTGTCATCAGTCGTGTTCCTTGCAGTCAAGACAGAACCATCTCTTTTCTCCACTGGCGGCGGCAAAAGTGGATTGCTAGGCGGGAACGTCCCAGGCAGAAGCTGCGCTTGAGCTGGCGGCATTGGCTCGATGACCATGGGTCGCTCCGATGAGGGTGGCAAAACAGCCGCGTGGATGGCCGTAGTGGCTGTGCCCAGGGCGAGCAGCGCACTAGAGAAGGAGGGTGCGTATGCGTGCATTGCTGCGATGATGCGGGATGCGGGATGTGGATGAGTGGGTGATTGGCAGGTGTTGCTGGTGGCGCTGCTAGGTGCTGTAGTCTGTAGAACCAGCCCGCTGGATCGACAATGCAATGGATGCTAGTGGATGGGTGATGTTGCGGCTGACAATGCGAAGGACAAGTGGGATGTTGTGGATGTGGTGCAGGACGGGTGGCGGATTTGCTTTTGTACTGCCTCGGATGGCCAGACATGCCTGCCTGGCCGCGAGAGATGCGGAAAGATGGCATGTCATGGCAGGTAGGCGCGCGCGCTGAATGAATGGTGTTGGAAGCTACCCACCTCTCACACCTACCTGTCTCTGGCTGCCTCCTTTCTCCTCCGTGATGGCGACCGGCAAGCGCGGGGCTCCCTCGGCTGAGATCTCAAGCGGCATTCCCTGCTTGTGCAACCGATCATGCCTGCCGGGAAGGGGAGGGGCAAAGCCGCAGCTACATGTGTACGAACATACATGCACGCATAGGCATAGCGGTGACACGGCGTGCGGTTCGGTTCGTCAATGCGAGGGCGTTTGAGCGGGATACGAGTTCGTGTGACCGCGTTACCCTTCTATCTGAGATCGGCCGAGGGTGGGGGGTCACGAAGGACGTCCGCGGCGGCGATGGCTGGCGATGGTGGTGATGGTGATGAAGCACCAAGAAGGTACGCCTACGGGTGTAACAGGGCGGTGCTCCCCCGTACTCCGTAGACATGAGCAGACCGTGCCTTCAGCCAGCCCAGCAAGCATTTGCGACAACAGGGTGCTGCCTCAGCTGAACGGGGGGGAAGGGTGGAGGTCGGAAGAAGGCACTCCCTAGCCTGACGGGACGCCAAACGCGGCCTCAGGGTCGCACCGCTGTGACGTCTGCCACGCAGCCGCATCAAGCACAACCAGCTGCACCCCTGCCCATCCTCCTACCTACAGTACGCAGTAGGCAAAGAGGCATAGGTAGTTAATCCATCACCATTCTTGTCATGGCGCGCGCAATCGCGGCTCGCTTACTGTAACCACCTCCCCAAGTTTCTCTGCGCGCCCCCCACACGCCCCCCCCACCGTCCACTAAACCTGAGGGCCGCTTGCTGGCGCCGCGCCATAAGGCCTTCGACCCCGAGTCCACAGTTGCAATCAGCCGCGACGAGAGCGGGAATAATTTTCGCTGCCATGGTTGCGCGCGAGGCCCTGCCTGTTTTGGAGCTGGCTAGGCCAAGGTCGCTCCTCCACAATGCCACGGCTTGGACAAGCCCATTGCCCCCCCACCACCACCGCTGCAAAAAACACCCACCCGCCTGCCTGCGTCTGCATCAATGCAATGCGCTGCGCTGCACTACGCCGCCCCCGCCATGCAGATTCAGCGTCACGAGCGCGCAATGCAGCTCTGTACGTATGCATGCGCCTGTAGGCAGGCAGGTAGGCAGGTAGGTAGGTCACAAGCACCCACCGCGTCCAGCCGCACCGCACTGCAGGCCTGTCTCAGGCCACCCCCACGCGCTTGCTCGCGAACCGCAGACCCCAGGTCGTTACATAGTACCCAGGATCCCACGCCAATGCCTGCCCCGCTCAGAGCCATCATCATCGAGGCCCTACCTTGGTGCCGGTGTATGTACATAGATGCAGCACCTAGCAGCGCGTCCCGCAGCCTGTAAACGCAAGGCAGGCATAGCTAGGTAAGTACTAGCTACCTAGGCATTACGCACTAGGCAAGCATGCGCGTCAGCCGTCCGCCGTCGCAGTCAGCTCATCATCATCTGCAGCTGCGGGGCAGCCCGCGCAGATCAAACATGCCGGGGTGTCAAGTGTCGAATTTGCGGCGTACGTCAGAGGAGGAGGGGCATGTGGGGTGTGGGCCGGAGGGGGTTAAGTATTGGCGCTGCTGCTGCTTGTTTCTACTTCCGCTTGCTGTTTACTGCTGTTGTTGCCGTTGTTGCCGTTGTTGCCGTTGTTGTTGTCGTCGACAACCACATACACAACCCACATACCCACGTACCTATCCGCCAAGCTACAAACCCACCACCTCGATACCTCGATACCTCCCTGCATACCTACCTGCCAGCCAGCCTACATAAGTATCCATATCCATATCCATCACCATCGCCATCATCATTGTCCAACCCCATTACACACCACCGTACCGTACCCCCCACCGGCAACCAAACCCAGCCATGATAGCGGACCGCACGACCGCCCTGCCCGCCGCGCTGCGCCGCTTCCCGTGCTGCTCGACGTACGCGCTCGTGGGGCTGGTCCTGCTTGTTTATCTCGTTAGGAGCGCGATGGAAGGAGTTCTGGATTTGCTGCGCGAGATGGGTGGGAGAGGATCGAGGAGGGAGAGAGAAGAGGGGGGTTTTGAACGGGGAGAGACGTGGGATGAGCAGGAGGATTGCGAAGAGGACCAACCCGTTTTCCGAAGGCAAATCGCCGCTGCGCGACCCGGACCGCTGCACAACTTCTAATGGCACAAGCTGTCTTGATTCTCTCGGGCCGGAAATTCGCGTTGCTGCTGCAAGCTGCGGAGTAAAGGGGGGCGAGAGGCGTTGACTGCGCACACCTCTGAGTGGCGCAGGAAAAAGCTTGGGATTGAGGCTCTACAATGACGCTGAAAAGACAATTATCCGCCCACTTGCCGGCTGGCTTCATAACATCATCACCACGCAAAACAGACTCAGGAACGCGCGCCCTGTCAGCTCCACTGCTCGCTACCCTCACGCGTATCCCGCTTTCTGGTGTCCAGCTCCCGTGGAGTCCGTGGATACGCCGGCATCTCATACAGCACGCTCTCGTCGGGTTGCGTCTGCTTCTCGGCGCGCTCGTTCTCCGGCAGTTGTACCATTGCCTGTGGTGGTGAAGACGAAAACATCCCGCCAGGCGCATGCGGCATCGTGGGCGCTTTCTGTCGCCGATGCAGCAAGTACAGGCCGACTCCAAGAGCGCCAATGATTGCAACGGCAACGGGCACGCCAATGCCGATGCCGATCTTGGCGCCGGTTGTGAGACCCGAGGTTGATGTGGCGGAGGAACCGGCAGCAGCAATGGTCTGGCTCGAGAGCGGAGCGGTGTTACTGGCGGAGGGGCCGGCTGCCGTTGCGGTTGGTACATCGGCGACTGATACTGCGGCGTCGCTGCTTTTGGTCGATGTTATGGAGCTGGTGGATGCGGAGGAAGACGACGACAGCAGTGATGATGGCCGAGTCAGAAAGACCTCGTCACCCGTTTCGCTCAGCCAAATGCCGTTTCCGTCCGAGCAGCATGTCGGGTTGTAGTTGCAGCAGAGGCTTCCGTCTGGGCAGACGGTCACACGCGGCAAGAATCCATTTGCGGCCTCGGTCTCGTCTGCATGTTGGTGTCAGATATGAAGGTTGCAAGAGCCAACGTGTGGAGCCTCCTTACTTTGCAAGCAGATCTTGCCGCACACTGTCGAGTCATAGGGGTACTCCGCGCAGGGTCCTCGGACGAGCGTGGCGTTAGCATCGTTCGGGTTGTGGCACAGCCGGTTCGGTAGACATGTTGCTTCGACCCCGCAGCAGGCGGAGGATCCGGGGCAGACTTGATTGTCTTCGTAGGCTAGGCCGTTGACTCCGTAGCAGGTCCGGCCGTTGACGAAGCAGAGAAACAAAGAGAAAATTATGAAGAAGATGGACATAGCCATGTTCAATGAAAAGAAGATGTTTTAGATCTCACCGGGCGATATTGGGGTGGGAGAGGAGATCAGAGACAATGCAGCCAAGGACAATCATCTATTTTACAGTGAGCTTGAACTGCGCCGCACAGAGCCGCCCAAGGGCCCTGGGGGTATTCCTGAATTGCGGTTTTGGGATGCCAAGGCATGCATGCTGCTACGGGCCGCCATCTCCAGCTGTGCCGCAATTAACTGCGCTTACTGAAAGCCATGTCGGCGCTTGTCGTGCAAAGTGACTGGCTGCACGTATGTGAGTCGGCTAAGGGGATCCATATATAGAGATATGCCGACATGTACAGCGTGAAAGCCGGTTTCATGAGGCTGTCGTTGCTCGTATCTCGCCGGTGGTGCAGCTGTCACGCTGTGATAGGTAGGTCCGGGCGTGGACCGACAATCAGCGGTTTTTGTAGATGCTTATTCCGTCTCTCCAGATCTATTCCGCCGGTCAATTTCTAGAATACTGCGTATCCTGGTAATATAGCGGCACAGAGGGCCGTTGTGGTGTTTGATGAACCGGCGAGAGCGGAGGTGGAGGCAAGATTGGGGGGGGGCAGCCCAATGCGGTTTAGTGCGCACTCCGCACACGGCAGTCACGATGTCTCCGCACCGTTCGGTTGCGACCGGTCTCCACCATCATCAATCTTACCACGTCGACGGTAAGCCCTCGTCCAGCCCGGGAGGCTCATGGGCGCAACAGTGTTCGCATCGTCAATTGTCTCACGTCATTACGCGGCGCAGTTCGCCTTGGCCACTTATCTCCGATTCTTCAAGCGAAATACCGAAGCGCCGCGTCATGGTGTTGCTTTTTATTCCCGCCTCTCATAGGCTATCCTCCATTAACATAAGCGCAATGGAACTGGGGTTTGAAACTGATTCAGGGGTGGTCTCGAAAACAGCTCACTCACATGCTGCAGGCTCGCGGCTACTTTCCTGATATCGTCTGCGGTACCGGGGCGTTATCCGGGCTAGTTTCCTCACAGGGCTGCATACGCGCCTACGCGATACTGTGCCGCGACGGAGTACACCTTGTCTGGGTTTTGAATGGAGACAGGTGCTGATGGTGGAGACTGTCAGGACAGCTCTTTGGGCCGCGCAACGGCATGATGATCAGTCAAAGCCACCCCCAAACCAGGGTGCCGCTAAACTGCTTTTTTTGCTGTCGATTGGTACCTACTCCGGAGTACATACATCCCTCGTTTCCCCAATTTTCCTGCGTCCATCATATAATTTTTCCGTCATTCTTAAATTTGTATACTTCAACGTCCACTGTCTTTACTCCCAAAGCCCCTCAGACTGTCATTTGCACTTTTTCTCCATGATCTCTATATTCAAGACTCCTTTGGGCCAGAAGCAGAGATTGGGTGTTGTTTTCTTAGTGTTTGCCCTGCTGCTCTTCCTCTCTCACCAGTACCTATACGATACTTCAGATGAGCGGCTCCACAATGCCGATCTATCGTTTGACAATGCGGAGAAGGACGCTGGTGCAACCAGCCTCCCGGTTCCGGAAGAAACTCATGAGACCTCCACCGCAATAGCTTCTATGCCTCCAACAGAGACTCCCAGTGCTGCAGTTGGGAAACTGGATGCTCAGGACTTCCGGCTACCAGCTGTCATTGCGTCGGCCCGAAGTACAACCAACGTTACCTGGATGGATGAGCTGACAGTTGGGTATGTGTGCCAATGCAATCAAATCATCAACTGCTAAAGCCAGATAGCTGGGACTTGTATCCTTACAACGTCGACGACCCATACCCACCACCTCATCTCACCATTCCGGCAAACAAAGGCCATGAAGCGATGGCCTACCTCACCTTCATCATCGACAACTACGATTCATTCCCACCGTACGCTTTCTTCGTTCATGGCCACCGGCTCAGCTGGCACCAAGAAGGGGACATCGTCCACCTGATCAAGAATTTACGCATTCCGGCGCTTGAATCGGCTGGCTACGTGCCCCTACGCTGCGACTGGTACCCCAGCTGCCCGATGGAGATACGGCCGGTGACGCACGACGCCGTGGTCTGGGGGCCGGGAGTGAACCGGCAGCCGACTGAGGACGAGATCGCGCGGTCATGGAGTACGCTGTTCCCGGGGATGCCCGTACCAGAGACCATTGCGTCGCAATGCTGTGCCCAGTTCGCGGTGACGCGCGAGGCGGTCCGCCGCCACGCGAAAGGCGACTACCGCCGCTTGCGCCAGTGGGTGCTGGATTCCAGCCTGCCGGATGATGTCAGCGGGCGCGTGCTCGAGAAGCTGTGGGCGTACATCATGACGGGCGAGCCGGTGCAGTGAGTCCTTCCCCATTCCGCGCTTATGGCGGTATTTGCGCTGACTGTAATGAAGCTGTCCTGCGCCACAGCGCTGCGCGTGCGAGTATTTCGGCCAGTGCGAACCCAAGGCGTGGCCGCAGACGCCGGAGGGTCTTCCTGACGTACCGGATGAGTGAGCGCAAGTGGAACTCGAAAGGACTGGTTTCCTAAAATACCCCGAGGCCGTGTGTGTGTGTGTGTGTGTGTGTGTGTGTGTGTGTGTCAGTAGGGATCGCACGCAGTTCAACATGCGGCCATAATGGAACTGACACGAAGAGACGGACCACGAGACAGGAGACACGCGATTCTGGACATGGACGGACGAGCCGCCGCGCCTGCTTGCTTGCTTGCTTCTACGGGATGGCGTTAGTGCCGGGTCGAGCACCACACAGGCCTCAACGAAGAGGCACACGACAGCCCGTGCCTGTACAGAGTAGCATGCTCGCAGCACGACCCCAGACCGGCCGTCCGTCCAGCCATCCATCTCTCGCGGCCACCATACCAGAAGCTCTCGGCTTCGAGCTTCGACCCTCTCTCCGTGGCGTGCGTACGTAATGTACAAGACGGAGGCGCACAGCACCATAGCCGGACGTCTCCCATCGGGGCGGGCGGGAGCGGGACCGCGTCCAGCGTACCTACCTACCTAGGTAGACGGTCCGTTCCGCTGCGCCCGCACTACCTATACTTATGTACCACGTACGTACAAGCTATAAGCGCCTCGGGCCGCTATGGGGTCACCGATAGGTATCTCTATAGCGGAGATCACCGGCTTCCTATACTACGCACTACGTCCTGTGCATGTTTATGGAGGCGACGGTCCACGACTCAGCATGCTGGACGGATGCGAGTTCTGCGCTGGTTTGGTGCCCTGCTCTACAACCCTAGCTATACGCGGCCACTAGATGGGGTCTGAGAACCGGCGCGTGTGTATGGGTTTGCGTGCGTAGAGGGCAGACGAACAGGACAACGCGGAAAACGGAATGGGCTGTCCGTGTGTATGTATGTGTATGCAAGCATTTGTTCGTTCGATTAGACTAAATAAGTACAGTACAGTACGTGTGTGTGTGTGTGTGTGTGGCACGAGGGTACCTATGGCACCATGGCACTATGGTATGACCTGTGCGTGCGTGCGTGCGGCCGCTATGGCGGCGGATATATAACAAACAAACAAACCAGCAGCAGCAGGAGAACCGTCCGCTCTTCCCCGCCCCTCTTGTTTCCTGCTTCTCTTTTCTCAGCTCTCTATCTCGTCGTCTTGTTGTACGCGTCTTGTTGTACTCGTCTCCGTCCTCGTCTCCGTCCTCGTCGTCTTGCTGTAGTCGTCTTCTCGCTTTGCTCGTTGCTCGTCGTTCGCCTTGCTCGTCTCTCGTCTCGTAAAAGGAACAAGAAACATCCACCCATTATGCAAGCATACAAGCAAGCAAGCAAGCAGCCTTGCGCGCCATGTCCATCCAAAAGAAAAAGAAAGGGGAAAAACAGGGAAAGAAAAAGAAAAAGAAAAAGAAAAGCAAAACAACATCCACCAACCCAACTCAACTCAGCTCAACACAACCCACCCACTCAAATCTCACCAACTTGATCAACGTTCTTCTCCGCCCCTTCCCCAGCCGCGTGCTTCTTCCGCCCAAACCCCCCCTTCCCCCTGACCTCATAGCCTTCCCTAAAGCACAAGCCCGGGTGGAACGCATTCAGCGCCAACATGGCCGCGCCAACAACCGCGCCCTCCAGCCCAATGAAATACCGCTGCGTCTCAATCAGATGCCCCGTCCAGCCCTCACTAAGCTCGGCGACGCGGTACACGCTGCGCGTAAAAATACACAGCGTCGAGAACGCCAGCGCGGCCAGAAAGCCCTTGAACGCCCAGCTGGCGCGCAGCCGCGCGTGCGCCGGGTCCAGGGCCTGCGCGTCGCCGAGCGCGCGCACGCGGCGCGCCGTGCGGATCGAGAAGTCGGTTGCGAGCGCGATGAAGACGGCCAGCGTGGCCACTTGGAACGCCAGGCCCGCGATCATGATGTTGTTGCCGGTGTTGGGGTCTTTGTTGGCGTGCGACTGGGCGGAGGCGAGGCCGCCGCCGGCGGCTTGCAGCAGGAGGGAGATGACGTCGCAGGGGATGAAGATGCGCGGGTAGGCGAGGGGCGGGATGCGCGAGTTGGAGGCCCCGAAGGTCGCAACGATCCGTGAGAGGCAGAAGTAGATCCCCGCGGCCATGAAGGCGGGCGCGATGGTGAGGCATACGATTTGCATTAGGAATCCGTTCTGGGAGGGGGGTGTTAGTGGGGGTTTGGTAAGTGCGGGGTTGTGCTTGCGGGTGTGCGTGGAGAAGGGATGTTGTGCCACCGCGGGAGCATATGTATGTATGCCCATCTTCCTGGACAGTGGTAGGTAGGTATGCATACGGGTAAGTACGCACGACACCCCAACCACAAACCACACAGCACTCTCAAAACACAAAACAACACACAACAACTCACCTCGCCAAACGGATTACTCCAGCTCATCAAGCGACCCGCATAGCCCAACACCTCCAAGATATCACCCGAGACCATGGCGATCGTAAAGCCAAGAAAGCGCTTGCTGACAACGCCCTGCACGAGGAACAGCAGCAGCGAGAGGCCGAAGATGGCCGCGAATGCCGCGTTCGCGCCTAGCGAGGGCCGGTACGCCCAGTACGAGTCGGAGAGCGGGCAGGTGGCTAGGGTGCAGGCGTCGCGGTAGGCAGCCCAGTCCGAGTACGTCGTCGGTCGGTAGCTCGTTACTGTGCTGTCGCGCGCGAGGAGCGCAGGCAGGAGCGAGGCCATGGTGGCGTGAAGTGCGTTGTCGTCGTCGTCGTGGGTAGGAGTGAGAGTGAGAGTGAGGGTGCGAGTGAAAGTCTTTGTTGGTGCCGGTGGTGGCGGCGCGGACGGGCTGACGGCGCTGGGGTGCGCAGACTGGCAGCAGGCAGATATACTCGAGCGCGAGTGAACGTACGCAGCTCTATGACGGCTTGAACAACAAGCGGCGGTGGCGGCGCTGCGGTCCGTCTAGTCGCTACCTAGTCCTCTAGGTATCGTATCGCAGGATCCTGGGATCGGCGCGTCGTATGTAGTCACTCGTTCGAAAACAAGCACACGGGCGATCAACCCAATCCAATCCAGTCCTCGTACGCAAAAAAGTCCGGTCCGGGCAGTATCGGCGTCGGGTAGCAAGACCAACCAGTTCGTTAGTGCCTAGGTATGTACGAGGCAGCGAACAAACAAACAAAGAAGCAGAAGCAGAAGAAAGCGACAGAACAGACAGGCCCTAGCGCGTCCCTATGTATGGACGTAGTAGAGTATACCGGACATGCTTAAGTCCGGCCTCCTACAGTACACTTCACTCTGGGCCTTGGCTTGGCTGCTGGGTCGCCTGGGCAGTCTCGCTATCGCGTTCGGCGTGGAGCCAGCCTACCTAGTGTCTGGAAGGGGCTAAGCGGCCGGGCGCGGCGGGCGCTGGGCGAGCGAAGCGAGCACCTGGAGTCTGAGTCTGTGACAGGAGCTGGCAGGGGCGCGCCGAAGCGAGCTCCAGTGCTTTGCTCGGATCGGATCAGAGATTCCCGAGCACATGGCGCGTGTGCTGAGTAATTCACCACCACCTCCACCACCTCCTCCTCCTATCTAGGTAGGTACTTACTAAGGCACTCACCGTCTATCTCCAGCCTTCACGCTCGTGCGTGGGTAAGTGAGTGAGTGGGCGAGTCCTAGTGCCGCGCGGGAGTGTGGTCGTGTCATTGTCGCCGTCATCACCACCGTCACCGACGCCCGCTCTCTTGGCCGCGTCTGGGCAGCGGAAGCAGCGAGCGAGTCCCATCCGCCCCCCCCCCCCCTCTCTCTCTTTCTCTCCCGCTTTCCTGGCGTGTCGTTGTTGTCCGCCTCCGCTAGGCAGCAGCAGCCACGGCGAGCTCTATCAGTCAGGAAGCTAGGAAGCTAGGAAGCTAGGCGCTTACGCGTGGCTGCCGCTAGCGCGTGCATTTATATATTCAAGAAGCGAGTGAGCGAGCGAGTAGAGTAAGTGAGTGCCGCGCTTGGCGTTGGCGTTGGCAGCGTGTATGTCCTCGTGTGCGTTTGGCTGCTGAGACCACCTACTCCTAGGATGACTATGACGACGGTGTTACGGATGCGCATGCGGGGCGGAGGGTGTTTTTCGCGGGATTATTGCGAGGTGTTCCATGCTATGTTACTGGCACTAGGAGTAGCACAGCGTTCGTATAGTGTTACTGTTACTCCCGGATCCTCACACCCACTCCAAACCCACGGCATCCCACAAAAAGCCGCGCCAGCGCGAACTCTTCTCCACCACAAACGCGACCCTATTCCACCCCTCACGCAGCACGCCCCCCGCCACCTCAAACTCAAACAAATGCCACTCCCCCGCCGCCGTCGCGCTCCGATACAAACTCGGATCCGATGCAATATCCGTCAGATTCCCGACGCGGGCCCCATTGACGAACACGCCCGCCGTCGTGCCAGACGAGTACCCCGCCAGCGACACCGTCAGCAGCGCTTTTCTGGCGCTGTTGCTTGCAATAGCAGTGCCAGTGCCGTTGGCAGTGTTGTTCCCCCCGCCATCGCCGACGAAAAAGGTTATCTCCCACGCCCCCGGCGCCGACTGCCCAAAACACCAGTCCGAGTCCGCAGCGCTGCGACCCACCACAAACGTCAAGTTAGCAGGACAGCGCTCGACGAGGCCGTGCGCGCGCGCCGCGCCGCCGTGCTTGAAGCCTAGGGCTTTGCGGTCGAAGTCGCCGAGGAGGAAGAGGCGCTCGCGGCCACCCGGGACCCGCCATGTCAGCGTGCCCAGCTCAATCTCGGCACCATCAACATCAGCAGCACTGCTCTCGGCGCCCTCGCTGCCGCCCGCGACAACAACGACGCTCGAGTTCCGCACATACGCCCCCGCTACATCGCCAATCACGGCGCCCCCGTTCGCCCACGCCTGCAGCCCGTACGTCCCCGCGCGCACGTGCTCGAACGCGAACGCGCCCCCCGCGTCCGCGTACGCCGTGTAGTAGCTTCCACGCCCCATGTCCAGCGTCGACGTATTGGGGTTGCTGTCACCTAAAAACACGGCCGCGCCCGCCGCGGGCCGCCCGTCCGAGAGGCGCAGCGTGCCGCGTATGCGGCGCGCGCGGGCCTGGTACCCCGGGTGCGAGAACCATGAGTACGGCCAGGACGCGAATTCCTGGGCTTGGCGTGCTGCGGCGTCGGGCTTGGAGCCGTTGTTCTACGGCGGAGCGAGGGGCGTTAGTGCGTGCGCGTGCGTGCGCGTGCGGTTTGCAGCTGAGGGGTATTGGGGGAGGCTTACGAGGTACCAGAGCCAGGGGCCCCAGAGCTTGCCGTCGGCGAAGGCGTCGGAGGACGAGGCCTGGAAGTGCGTCCCGTGCAGCATGTTGAGCTGGACGGCGTCGCCGGTCGCCGACTCGCGGTGGACCTTTTCCATGTCAGCATTCAATCAATCTTTTCCAGCAGCACGCCCGGAAACCACTCACAATGAGCTCTTGCTTCAAATGGTCGCCGTTGAAGTAGTCCTTGCCGGGGTTGATATACCAGCTGCCGAACTCATCGCCATAGACGCCGTAGTAGTCGACATCGCGCAGAAACGTCGTCCAGTCGTACTTGGTGAGGTACTCGCCGCTGGACAGCTGCCACGTCTCGTCCTGGACCTTAGTGGCATTAGCATAGAGCGTCAGGTCCGGCAGCGGGCCATCTTTCTCGTTGGTGCGCGCGTTCGGGAACGTCGTGTTGTCCAGGCGCCAGAGCGTCCTGAACTCGCCCAACACGGGCAGCGCGCGGTTCACAAAGTACTGGTACGCGCCCGCCAGGTCGGCATAGATGACCCAGTGCATCTCGCCCTCGGTCGCGTTGAAGCGCACGTCGATGTACTCGGCCGTGCGCTGGTAGATGTCTGCTGAGGTCCAGTTCAGGTCGCTCTGGGCACCGTCTATATCGTATGTCAGTGTTTGGCACAAGCACTGAACAAACCATCAACATACTGTAGCTGACATAATGCCCCCAAGCGTCGCCCACGCAGTCGTGCTCTTTGTAGTACAGCTTGGTAGCATACTGCCGTCCTTGAGTCAGATTCCAATAATCATTCCCAATAACCCACGTCGAGGCATCCAGCTCTTTCAGAAACGGCCCAGCAGCAAAACACGCGCGCACAAGCAGCAGCGCCCAAGCAACGGCGATCGTAGCACCAACCATCGTAAAGCAAGCGCACTGCCTCAGCTCTACCTAGCAAGCAAACAGAAATCCGCGACCGAAGCCGCCCCATTATGTACCTGCAGCAGGCAGGCCCAACCGGGCACTTGCAGCCAATGGCGCGCGAGAAGCGCGCTTCCCCGCATTTTTCCTCCCATAGCCTGCGCCCTGCCAGGGGGCGTAGATTAAGCCAGATCCGCTCGCCTGGCAATTCGCTCCTTCGGCTTGTTGGGTCTCCGGTGGCTGCTGACGCCTGATTTGTGGAAGAACGTGTGTAAGCGACTCGGTTGGTGGGACCGGGTGGGTGCGGCCTCCGTTGGCTTTGCAGTTGTCTGGTCTCGTGCTGTGTTGTTGCTTTTTTCCCGGCTTGTGTGCCTGCCGAGAGGCTCTTGTTCGTGCATGAGTCCTTGCCGAGATAACTACCAAGAAGTGGGGTGCTTTCCTGCTCGTTTTTTGAATAGGGTTAGTCAGCCTTATGGAGGAAGAAAATCGTGGACGATAAGAGTGTTGATATACTCTTCGGTTACTGTAACATTCAGATGTGATCTTTGCCTTGAAAAATTCCTGGCTCTTTTGGTTTGGAATGTTTTGGGTCTGCCTTGGGCCTGCATTCATTCTACCGTGTCCTTCGCCGGCTAAAATATAAACACCCACATGTTGCGAGCGGAGACACAGATGACGCATTTATAAGCAAGTTTTAGTAGCTGCGTCATTTAGGTGGCTCTGAGATTTCTTTAAATAGCTGCTGGGAGGTATGTCCAAGTAGATCAAATAGCTACATGCAGCGATAGCATGAAAGTGCATCTTCCGGATACCGTTTTTGTTGAATTTTGGACCATGGATTTAAACAACGTTTTGGGCCGGACTATAATGGAGACTTTTTTGGAAGGGTCTATGGGCTGTTGAAAGTCAGGTACTTCTCAAATTATTCCGAGGCTGCTGAACCGCGTCATGCTTTAGTTGCCGACAGCTGTTAAGCCCGCAGTTTTCTGGAGAGTGGTCAGTAAAAGGAGTACCCTGATATCAAGCGCCAGATGGTTGTGCTTCAATTCTTGCATCCAAGTGCCAGAAGCGCTGCATGGTAAGAGTCTTGTAGAAGCCATTTGGAAGGCCTTGCCATGATTATCGACTGAGGTCCGGCCATGTTTGATCTCAACTTTAGCGTGGAAGATATTAAACGCCTTTCCCAGAACAGCTTATCGTACGCATAGTGGTTCTGACGAATCGCTGCTCCCACGCTGATAAGTGGAGATGAGACGATGTGAGACGCTGCAGTACTGACGAGCTTGAACAATCTCACCCGGAGGTGGATCATGCAGGCTTGCTGTAGTCAAGCGAAACACCAATATGTTTTTCAGCGACTTGACGCATAATGCCATAGCACGGTTGTTGTTGACATGAGATGAAGCGGCAGGGAAAACGCGACTCCAGCTGGCGCTCACCTTCCGGGTCAGACGAACGTCTGGAGTTTACCGCATCGCTGCTCTCGTGCAGCAGCCGGCCGGGAGCGAGGAGCCTGCTAGCCCCGGAGCTGTCATCACGGGCTCGTATTGCGGTGTTGCATCAGCAGCGGTGCAGGCCCGAAGTTGCCGTTTGTTCGTCTGGAACTGCCCCGCGAAAAGTTTCGTCTCACCTGCGTGACGCTAGCTTGTAGGTACATCGACTGTCAGCTGAACTTACAGTCCTACTCTGGTCCGATGGGGACGTCATCACGCATGTTTCCAATAGGCTTTGCGGGATTGGGCTCCTGGATCCCAGGATAATATTCCAAAAACTCTTTGTGGAGGTCATGTGATTTCCGAATTGATTTGAGGGGTGGTATGGCTTCCTTGATGTGGCAACAGCTCATCGTCTAAACTGACCAGAAAGCTTGTTTGTCGTGTAAGTGTTCAAGCGGACCGCAGCTCAGCCTTCAAAACTCTAAGTACGGGATACATCGTACCCTGGGAGGCACGTGAGCACTTTTCAATGCTTAACCCTGTTTATAGTTCAATCAACTTCTCGCAACTTCCATACTGCAGTACTAGAAGATGTATGTCATTCTCTGCTGGAAAGATCTGAAGGCGGCTAACCATTAGGCATCCCACATCATTACACCCCCCGCTCCATTATCAGTCACCGTCACGTTGGTATTCATCCCCGCTTTCTCACTTTCAAGCTTCCAAAGGAACAATGGTGGTGTTGGCAGTGAACTGAGTCAAAACTCCACCCGTGGATACGCCATAGAGCGAAAACAAAGTCGCGCCAATAACAGCCGGGCCTATAGGTTGAGACTCCGGGATGGTAATGACGTGAGAGCGGTTCTCGATGATATTCGAGTCATCTGATTGCAGTCAGCGCCATAGTTCTCAGCCGAACACGGGCTGGGAGGTGAAGTAAAGGGAAACAAAAGAACTCACCTGGGCCGAGGAACTTGCTCGACAGGAACTGACCCAGCCAACCCTCGTGGTAGTTGTTCTGCGGAGAGATGCCGAAGGAAATGGCTACATCCTGCACGGTTTGAATGTAGTTCGATGTGATTATGGTAACGCGGATGGTTTGGCCTGGCCAAATCTCAGAGGGCACTGCGATGCCGCTAATGATGGCGGAGGTAGAGCCGATGAGGCCGCCCAGGACCGAGAGAATGGCTGCGGCACGCATGATAAGTATTCTAGAAACAGCTCAGTCGTTTGCGATTCAACTGTTTAGGGAAATTGAGGATGAGGTTTGTTGTTTCATGGGCATCCGTGCTGGACGTCTTTATACAGACGTTCATGTCTGTTACTAATACCAGTCGTACTGCTGACACGGGAGGTAAGTTGGTCGGTCAGCAAAGGCAATCCATGGTTCTGGGATGGGCTATAGCCACCGGGGTGTTCTGCATAGTATGTTCAGCTGCTGCAATGGTCTGATGCTGCTCGCTGCCGTTACATCGTTCATGAAGTCTGTTACAAGCTCTACGGTGCTCAGTAATTCAGGTCATCGATGAAGCCTGTTGATAGCACAGCGAGCGCAATGAAATGTGTTGAATGGAGGACCTATGCAGTGGTGTTTGAGGCACCATACTTGGTTCCCGGGTCCAGTAGACAGCAGCCGGAAAGTTGAAGTTTGCTACCTCACAGGGATGCCGCATATCCATAGCTACATTAGCGGAATTTAAGACTATATTGGTCTTGTGGTCTTGCTGTTTGGGTCATGTGGGTTAATGTATCTCGTTCGTAGACCATTCGTGACTCATCAGTTCATGTTCGTATTTCCATCTCGTTGCTGTGTATGATGATGCAACCCATGCCTGTCTTCGTGCTCCTGCAGGAAAGAAGCCCTAGCCTGATTTTAGTACAAGGATCCGTCCATTTTATCAAGCCGCTATCGCAGCCCATGCATGAGCTCGCCTCGCTATTTTTTCTTCTTCAAAGCTCCGCCGTCGACCGTGAGCTCTTGACCGGTGACGAAACCCGCTTCAATCAAATACTCCGCAGCCTGGAAAATATCCTCGGGCATACCAGCACGGTTTGTGGGATGGTCTTCCACGTCCTTGTCTTCATGGATGTCCGACCATTGCCGACCTTCTTCGTCGCCCTCTTTACATTCGTGAGCCACCTTTATACGACCCGGCGCAATCAGGTTGACGCGAATTCCCCACGGCGAACAGCTAATTGCCATCGAGTGCATAAGACCCAGCTGTCCTGACTTTGTAGACGCGTATCCCTCCTGATTCGGATCGCTCTGATGAGCGCGGAAAGAGCCAATGTGGAGTATGCAGGGTCCGCCGGCGTCGATGTGTTTGGCGTCGTGAGAGCTGCCGCATCTCATGTATGGAATGCAGGCTTGACTCATTGCGAAAGGTGCCGTAAGGTTGGTCTCAACGTATGCCTGCCACTCGTCGATTGTGTCCAGATCCTTCATGGTCTTGCCATCCTTCCATTGTGGCGTCGCAATGCCGCCGTTGTTGATAAGGACGTCTATGCGACCGTCAAAGAAGTCAGCTGCCTTCTTGACCTTGTCGCGAATGTCGCTAACGTTCCGGAGATTGCAGATGCTCGAGCCGATACGTGGATGGTGAGATTTCAGGTGAGTGTCGACGGTGTGGGAGAGCTCGTCCTCGTCGATGTCGAGGATGTAAACGCGGTGGCCCTTCTCCAGGAACTTTCGCGCCATGCACCGTCCGATTCCCCGGGCTCCGCCGCTAATCAAGATCGATTTCGAAGTCATTTTTGAAGGTTTCTGCAAGAAAATAATTCAGTCAAGAGGACGTTTGAAAGCTCTTCGTTTTAGTTTCGAGCTACAGATGGAGAGGGGAACTACCTACGTCACCGTGATCAGCTAGCTCATTGCTGAGACGGGATGGCGCTCATATCCGAACAACTGTCCCACGACAACAACACGTTGCTTCCCCGTCATTTCTCTCACGTCGATGAGCCAATTCACCTCGCATGTCGCTTTGGTGTCTCTATCAACTAACCCGCTTGGATTTTAATCCTTACGCCTTCGTACAGGATGTCAATGTACGGGTGGAAGTATCGAGAGCAAACATGATCGATCACCGTAAGGTACATATCACCGTAGGGTACACACTACATGCCTTACAGGTCATTTTGTCTCGTTACTATATGTCCTCACTCACATCAGCCTTAGGCTCGACAGTAAAACGTGGCAATGATGTATCATTGTACTACGACAGAGCGTCTTTGAGCTAAGCAACGCTCATTCTGCATTCTCGTACGAGGCAATAAATAAAACCGGATCCAAACAGCGGAATGGCAAAATAAAAAATCCATAGAGCAGCTGCAGTTATTCATGCACGATAATCGGACCAATGCGTGCGAAGAATAGATTAAAAGTAAGCGTATTTGCAGGCTGATAAATATAGATCTAAGACATATTACTAGCCGAGACCTTGTTTTAACGGTATGGTAAAACAAAAGACCATTGCCTTTAAACGGATTGCATTAACATTAACTTCGTCATTCATGCAGTCTTTTCAACTTCTCGTAAAGTCAAAATCGGAGCCCAACCCATATATCTATGCAAAAATTCTCAGATCAAGAACAATGCAACAAAAAAATAACTGCAAAGGAGTAAATCGCAAACGCAGCAGTCAGGTACAGAATGGCACTCTTCTCACAAGAGTTCTCTTTCGTTGAACCAGTTTCCTCCGTCGTACAGAGGTCCGTCATCATGCCACAGTTGGTATTCCCATTGGCCATTCGGATTGACTCTACCGCAGCGGATGGTGAAAGTTGCTTGAACTATACGACCTCGGTCCTCGACTGACATGCACACTTCTTGCCCATCTCCAAATCTGCGGGAGCTCTTCAAAAATCTCTCCTTTGTTGCTATACGATGCATATGAGGGATTTCATCGTGATCCATCTCAGGACCGGAAATTCTTGAATGCGAACGGCTGATGCCTGATGGACTAGAAGGGGACGAAGATAGCATGGGATGTTGTTGCAGTCTGGAGTTTACGAATCAGCACATCACTACGGTACCTCTTTTCTTTTGCTGGAATTTCACTTTCAACAGGGAAAGTCGTCTTACCTTGCTTCCGCTTCAGGTTGTGCGTAACCCTTGGTCCGCTGCGAGTTGCCGCTCCATATGTATTCGGGTTGGCCTGCATCATTGTAACGGTAGCAGTAATACTGCAAATGCTCGGAAGACCATATCCACTCAGAATATTGCGATGGTGGGCTCATTGTAGCAAGATTGGAAGATGTGAGGGTGAAATGAATATGTCAGACGTAGTCGGGGCATACAATCTTTTATGTACGAGGCTGGAAGCGCATAATTGATGATATCATAGGACGAACTAATCCTACGATACATTCGCGCCGGCCGAGGTGTTTCTGTGTCGTGTCAGACATTTTGGGTGATCTTTGCAGCCCCGCATAAACACTGGGATAAGACCTTGGAATTTGGAAACATCTGTGAGAACTACCGCAACAAGCGAATAGATCTAGACTATCCTTACAACCCTTACAAATAGGGTATTTAGATATGCGACTTAGCCGCCAGTCCTGGTGCTTGGCTGTTGTAGCTACACAGGATTGGTGGCTCAAGCGACCCATTTACTGGATAAAAGAGCTACAGAGTTTCGGCCTTGTCACTCTGTTATTGAAGTTCTACGTCATCCTGTTCTATTAACCTTGTGTTAGTTGAACGCATGACCATAGGTGCAGTAGTCGTGCAGGCGCCATACGGCACGTGGGGATGCCTCTGGCCATAAGAGAGCATTCTCACCCATGCCTAGCAACCAAAAAATGCAACCGCTTGCTCACTACCGAGTACCGACGACTGGGATACCCCATAAATTCGGGTCAGCAACCGGGCAAGTTCATGCAAGATATTGTTAGTGTCTTCCGATCGAGCCAGGGTGATTACTGTGACTGTGAAAAGGAAATTTGCAGAGCAGGTAGGGCTGAGTTTTATAGGAAAAGCTTAAACGGGCTCGCATGTGACACGAAATGTGTGATGGACTCCTTGAGTTCCCTTGCAGAAAAATCAAGGCTTAATTCTATTTTATAGCAGGGTACCCGCGCCTAGCCGCTTCATGCATGAACAGCGTTCCGCACACCCACTAAAATCCTTTCTAGGGAACATTTGTTTAACAGGACCTTTATGATTGGCTAGTAATGATACTACGTTGCCGAAGTAAATACTATGCATAGAAAATAGGATCTTATTTGTTATAATATCTATTCGTATATCTACAGCTATTTTATTTTTAAAATTAAAATTAAAGCATGAGCTTTGACTTTCTCTTCAAAAATAGTCCCCAGTGTGGTGAGGAAGTATTGTAGAAATTTTAACCTATTTAATAGTAGGTGTTCTACAAAAGTTAGGATAACCGACCCTTTAAAGAACACTTCAAGAAATCATATAGCTAGAATTCCTCTTTGCCATGAGTAAATATCTAACAACATCACCCGATGGCGTCTGATTAAAAAAATCCTTAAGATGCTTTAGATAGAGATTAGATGGGAATAACTTGCGTGAAGTAGTTACTCATACTTTTCTAGATATCTTTACTTAGAAGCATATTGTTTCTCGCGAAACGCTACCATATTATGTCATATAGTCCAAGTACCTACACCATAACCTCTCCTAAAGGAACGCCAGTATAAAACTGAAATTAACATTTACAGTACGCAGCTTAATAGTTTATTAGACGATTGTTGTCTTTGTAACATCCGTAGGCTATGCTAATTCTTGACTCCTTGAGCGTAGAAAAATATGCTAAACGCCGTTGAATTTAGTTCCATAGCATTTACAGCTACCTAATTATAGCGCCGAATGCTGACCAATGTTGCGTCTCATGCATATCTGTTCTATAAATAAGAGAAACTTAAGCACAGCACAAGTATCCAACTTATGAGTCTCATCTATTTTTACGATATGTTCTTTAAAATATTACAAAATCCCAAATAACGAGCGTTGCGGATATAAAACTCCAGCGAGCTCAATAATTTTGGCCCATAAAGTGTTGCCATTCTACTATTAACCTTCATTAGATCTTTCTTCCCAACTCTCATTTAATGTTGCATTCAACAAACCGAAATTGTCTTCTGTACAGAACAGACTGCTTTGCTCATACAAAATCAAGTGCAAAATTGAAGCGAGGAAGGCAGTCTGGATAGACTATTATGGCAGGTTTTTGGATGATTTATTAAATGCGATACGACTTATATAGCCAGAAACATGAACATACACTTAGGTTTGCATGGGTGCAATCAAGGTATGAGATTCTTCCATTCTTATACTGCAGCAATACCTGAAGCAGTGAAGAAACGCCAGCGGCAAGGCTCGGAAAATGCCATGAAGGTACAAATGTAGAGCATTAATTTGAATACTTCAGGCTCTACCAATCGGGAATAAACTGAGTTACGATCTGACAAAAAGCATCTGCAGCCCATTCCCTTAAGAGTCAGCAGGAGCAACGCAATGCAACCTAAGACAACCAGCCACTGTTTCCAAATCCAATCATGTTACAACGACAAGCATTTACACGCGGCGGAAAATCCTTCGCCCTGCCACCCATGCCTGTTGACGCCATCGGAGTGGGCAATCGAGCCGTCCCGCCTGACCTAAAAGCTAACAGGGATTTGGGCGGGGTCGGGAGCATAGAACCATCCCCTTGGATTCAAGTTGGGTCGCACAGCTCACGGGAACAGAGTCATGTGGGAGTATGCATACATATCGGGCTGGCACCAAAACCTGTTCCGCGCGTATGTGCGGAAACAACCGAGCAATGATAAGAGGGCGCGTGGGGTTACTGTCCCAAACCCTAGCAATGCATGCAGCAAAGGTGGGCGTTGGTGTGGCCGGAAGACCAAGCACCGAACCAATGAAGCACCAGAGAACCTTTCGCCTAAATTCGTCTGTGGCATAAGGCATCCTTGGAATGCGGGATTGTCTTACTCTCTATCCCGGTAGCGGGCAGCTGACGACCACTTTGTCGGACCGTCGGCCTTTCTGGACATGAAAACACAACACTTGAATGTACCTGAGTCACAATACTCTCCAAGACTTTGTCGGTGCTGACGTAGAAATGTAGTAACAGAGTTCGTAACTCAAATTTACATAATGATCCCCAGTAGGGTGTTTTGTCCTCTGGGTCAAATAAGAGGTGTGTTTCTGCTATCTCAGGGATCATGCATATTGGCTGAGAGGCAAACAGACGGCAACGGCTGAAGCTTGGCAATGTCTTGATTGGGCCGCCTTGTATTCATGTAAGATGAATCCCTGTCTGTCGGCTCCACCTTAGAATGTTGAGACAGCTTAAACTCCAGGCATATTATCTATTTGTATATATCGTTAAACAAAATAGATCTTTAGAGCTAATCAATCCCCCATGGTCAGAAAATGCTTTAGGATACACAAACTTTTTTTTTTTTTTTTTTTTTTTTTTTTTTTTTTTCCAATATGATTTGAGTGATGAAAATGGGGAGCATCCCTGAGAAAACCGAGATTGGGCAGTATAGTATATAAGGTAATATGATCAAGTATCAAATCTGTGGAATTACCTTCCATATTTTGTGAAACTTAGCTTGGAAATTGAAAGAGCGCGTATACCAAGAGAGTGACGATAAAGAATTAAATTCTGATATTCCAGCGTGATGTTTTCAGATCCTGAGAGTATACGCCCGGAGAGCCCACTGAGCCTTGCACATCATCTAAGACTGGAGGCGTAATGACGATGAATTCCGTATCACAGCCGGCCTCAGAGGGATCAATCCAGTATCGTTTGACCAATTTCCACCATGTCTTGCTACAAATATCTTGATTTTCCAGCTGTGATTTTGCGATAGCCTTTTGGATATCAGATGCCCTCAGTGTATCGAAGATCCACTTGCTGATGCGTGCCCGTACATCTGGGATCAGTGGCAATAGCTGCTCCAGGCCGCTTTCGCTCTTCGCGCGAGGAAGCTCTGTCTCTGTAACTGGTAGGGGCAGATACGGATTGGAAAATTGGCGGCCACCAGGAAATGTCATTGTATCGAACTCAGTAGGTGGGAATACTGTTTCCACTTCGTCGTCATAGGAGAATCTTGGTCCTACCAGAATTTCTTTCTCTGACTCTGTCATCTCGGATTCAGAGAAGTCTTCATCGTCGAGAGGGTCTTGAACATGCTTATCTTCGAATTGTTGGGGTTGTTTGAAATCAAAGCCATTCTGCTTGAGAGTGAGCTGTTCCATTTCTGCCGGAGAAAGTGGTAATGCATGATTTCCGTTTTGAAGTCCAGGAGACATTTCCGCGTCGGAGCCAAGCTGTAATTGCAGGTCTGTGTTCGGAAACAGAGCCTCAAGATTTATATCCAAGAGGTCTTCCGTTAGGGTTGCAATGAAATCGCCTTGGCGGTCAGCGAGCTTCCATTCAGCGGTATCGTAGGCTCGCTCTACTTGATCATACTCTTCTTCGGCATTTCCAAGGTCGTTCTGTGCTTGTTGGATCTTTTGATATATGGTAAAAAGCACCTCTGGATCGAGTGCCTTGGCGTTAAGACACATTTGTCGGAGCTCACTAACCAGCTCAGATTCGAGGAGACGAATAGTCATTCGTCGGTCTTGCATTTGTTTTCGTTTCTGTCGCAGCCTCATTCGTTCGGTGAGAGCTAGCTCTCCAAGCTCCTTGATCTTGTCTTGATCATTCTGTGCTTCGTCTAAGCGTGCCATAAATTCATTTAGAGCAGTTTGGAGGCAATTAGGAGCTCCAAATATGTGATCTTGATTCTCCGCCGGAGTTCGATCCATTCGCGGTGCGTAACGATCCAGATTCTTAGGATCATACATATTGATATGTCTAGTCGTGATCTTGCCTTTGAATGCCGCGCTGTCCACCTGCTCAGCCTCGAATGATAGAGACCACCTTCTGAAGATGAGGTTTGAGGAGATTGAAGGGCTTCAGACTGCACAGCTGGAAGGCTACGGATCCGTAGATGACTAAGTTACCCAATGTCTTGTGAAACATCAGCTTGTCAAACCACTCGTTGATCAAAGAAGGCGAGATATGGCGGTTTCTCTGCAGTGAGACGTAAGCCTTGTTTGCCGCGCATGATGTTTTAGAAAGAAATCGGCAAGGATGCGCGGTTCACGACATACTGTGCCGCGTTTGTATTTCGTGTACACACTTACGTGGCCGCGAGCCTCGGGAAGATAAGGCAATCAAGGACGCGGGAGTGGCAGAGATGGATAGTGCACGCGCCACTGCGCATGACTTTCCTGTCGTGTAACCATGCAGTCGAAACGCGGCGCCTCCCTTTGATGACGAACCCCTGCCCACAAGTGCGGGGGTTGCATGCGGAGAGATTGCTGTTATGTTCTCCTCGGATTTTCAACCATCTTGCCTCTGGTAGCATGATGCGGCTCTGCTGCAGTAGTGGCAACTAGCTGGTTTATATATAGGTCTATGGCTCAGGGCTGTAGCGAGCTGTGCTTCTGCGGAACATGTGACACCATTGCGGTGACAATGAACAATTCGCCAAACTCTTGGACTTGGACTTGGAACCGCCAGTACGACGACTACTACACACAATACTGGAATGGCGGTGAGTTTAACTGCGTCGGGTTTTAGTTGACTGGCGGCCTAACTGACTTTGCCGAAAAGCCCGATTCGTCACTGTTTGGGGCAAATATGTGACGAGCAATAGGCAGCAGTAAGACAATGTACATATTGCAAGCATATTACCACGTTCTAAACCGACTTTATGAGCAAGCCCTTCGTTCCAGCTACTCTATCAATCTTTGTATCCGGTTCTGTGCCAAAGGCAGCAGCAGCAACAGCCACAACCCTCGAATGAGCATCACCAAGAGGCAAGACATGAGAGTGAAGTGAATGACGAGGACGAAGAAGAAGATGAGAATGATGAAGATGGAGAACATGATGAAGACAAAGGTGGAAACGAACATGAATCAGAACAACAGCAGCAGCAGTGAGTTTACATTGCCTACATCAACGTCGATGATACTAAAAACGACTTAGGACTAACCATCGTGACTCTGTGATTTTTCACTCAAACTGTCCCGTGCGAACTCCGAGCCTCTCAGCTCAATCGAGAACGGAAACAGAGAGTGTTATATCAGCCGACTTCCCGGCACATACAATCAGAGGAAACCCGCAACAGGGGCGATGGTCAGCTCTAGATTCCAGCTACCAGATTCAACCCAACGCGCGACAGTTCTTCAAGCAAGGCCGCGTACGTGTACAAACCAGCAGCACGGCCCCAACTAACACGGCGCAGATGTTCGCGATTCTTTTCAGCGAGCCGATGGGTGAGACCGCACCGCCGAACTTGGCGAGGGACAACGTGACCGTCGTCATCTACGGCGGGCACGTCTACACAGACATCCGGCGCTTTGTTGTCGTGAAAGAGAAGCGGGGGTTCTGCTACGCCTGGTCAGCAGCCAACCGCACTCCAACGTACTCAAGACCAAACCCGAGCTGACAGCCCCCGTAGCCCCGTCTCGACTTACAAACGCAGAGGCACCACAAAGCCCGGCGTAGACGCAAACGCCCACGCCATCGTGTACTGCACGAACTCACGCCCCTACTACCTGCTGGGCGAGAACCGGATGACCAAGGAGCCCATCGCCATCGAGCCCGCTAACAGCTCCGTCACGCTGGAGCCGGAATCGCGCATTAATTTTGGCCTGCACCATCCCATCCAGCACAACGTCAAAGTGAAAGACCTCGGTCGTGTCTGCGCGCAAGACATGGGCAGGTTGATCGCCTACTGGCATTTGGAGAACGATTTCGAGGAGGCTGGGAGCCTGCTGGAAACTTTGAACTTGGGTTAAGCTACGGAAAGGTGTGTCGTCGGACAGGGTCTGGATGGCATGCTTACGGTGCACGCATTATACGTTTCCGCACTCTTTCCTTACACGCATTTTCTTTGGTTGGATAAGACGTTCCGTGGACGAGCTTCTGTCGAACCGTTTTCCTACAGTTGTCACGGCCGAAATACGTCTTTCCTACAGCCATGAGTCGTCTACGGAGTTACCATACGTAATTTCTTTGTTTCCAATTCATGCAACCATCGCATATGCACCAGTGTCAGGCCGAGAAGCGACTGGATGATGTATTAACCTGCACCGCGTTACCATCCTCATCATCAAGAGAGATTTACCGTCTAGTGAGATAGGGAAGGATATAAGCATTTCCTATAAAATACTCCCTGGTTAGCTAGAAGCCTACATCCTAGACATGAGTGAGAGAATTTTAGACTGCACCCATACTTACAAATGTCTTAACTAAGTTTTAATCTAACTCCGTACAAGTATCATTACTTCGTTGGGTGGTGAACCTCGCTTCCTCCCCTTAATCCCCTCACCCACACCACCATCCCCTATAATGAGCAACCACCAAAGCAATCACCATTGACAGCTGGACCCCTACCACGACAACCAACGGAACCATAGCAGAAACAGCCAAGGAAACCAGTATCAAAAACCATAATCCGACGGTAAAGGTACTTCTGACGCTGGACCTGTCCGCTTGGAAAGAGGGTCGGATGTGCGTTTTAGGAAGCGTCGTGGCAGATGGATTGCGTGGTAAGGGGGCGTCTGTAGCGTGCGTTTTTGTGTATGCGGTGGTTGTGGTGATTGTGGGTGGCGGGGCGTTTGAAGACGATTTGTCCGAAGATGATGTGCTTGAATGTATAGTGTCCGGAACGTCCGCTGGCTCTTTTTCCTGATGCTGTAATGCCTTCTGGTCCGTAGTTGCGTAAGCCAGCAGCGCTTCCTCCTGCCCCTCTACCTCTTTCTCTTCGGCACAAGTGCCGTTGGTGCCGTCTTCAATTTGCTGGTGACGCGCCAACGGCAACAGAGGTGCAGGCACCATCTCCGTGCTCGTTTTCGCATCCGACTCCTTCCCTCCCACCACCACCGTCTCCATACCCTTCACATCCATCTCCATACTCGCCTCCATACGCGTCCCCGCTTCCTCCTCTTCACCACCACCACCACACACCCATCCATCATCCCCAACCCACTCGATCCGCTCAAATCCATCATCATCATCACCAATCTCCTGATCTGACAACTCCCTTACCATCGTGACAACACCTCTAACCGACCCCAACAGCAACAACAAACAAACAAAAAACGACCCAACCTCAACCCCAAATCTCGTCTCAGAAAAAACGTCCAAACCCCTAACTGGGAAACAGAAAACGTGTCTAGCAAGACTTGACCGCGCAAACACTCACTCATTCGCACACCCACCACCCCACCCACACCCCCTTATATACCCCACCCCTTAGCCTCCCCTTCCTCGTACCGTGGCACAGAAACCCCACGCCCACGCGACCCCTTGCATCTTGCACGGCGCAACCTGGCTTGGCAGCCGCGCCCTCGCACGACAACAGTACGACGCGCCTAGTCCTGCACGGCGCGGCAACGGGTGCTGGGCCCTTGCTTTGCGGGCTGCGAGACCGGTCGTGCGGCGTTTCTCAGCTGCTGCGCGGTCGCGCTGCCTGCTGAGCAGAAGGCTTTGGCGCCTGAAACATGAGAAGAGGGGCGTGATGGGTCATATGTGCGGCTGTTTTGATGTTTTCTGTGGCTGAGCGATGAGGGGGTAGAGGAGGCGTTGTTCTGAGCTTTGCGTGCGTGAGGTGCAGTACATCTCGAGTAGCGGCGTGCATTTGGGTCGACGGCCCATACCCCCAGCAGGCAGGATGTGGCGGCGTTGTGTCCATCCAGCAGCTTAGCCAACGAGCGGCGCACTCTGCGATAGTGATATCGGTGGTGTAATTGTGGTTCTTCAACAACAATCAATAATCCCACCCCTAAAGAGCCGACAACAAGAACTCTGTATCCGCGCTCTTTACCCTTCCACGCCGTCCTATTCCGTCCCCGTCAGTCCCCTTCGGTTCCCTCCGGCCCCCTCGTTTCCAGAAGCCCACTCAACAGCTCCGCGCCGGCTTACCACCGCGTGTCAGCATCCGGCGCAGCAATACTACTCATACAAGCCCGCACGACACGCGAGTCACGATCCTTCCATCCGTCTAGAAGCGCGGGTGTGGGGGCGGCGGCGCGAACGTTATGTGGGACCTCTGCCTTATCAAAAACGCCTTGCCAAGCGCATCCAGAAGAAATCCCAAAAATCCATGGGGGCGAAAAACCGTTCACCGGTAGAGCCAGTCCATAAGGCAGCAGTCTGTAGCCCCGGTCTTCGCTATGCGGCGGCCAAGGTCGCTAGGGTCGGTGACATGGAAATCGAAAGACTGGGCCGAGATTCCTGCTCCAAAGGACTCCTAGTGCTTATTCACGGATCTGGAGGCCGAGACTAGCCAGACCGGCGACCGCTTCCTGCGGTAGAGGAAGCCGAGACGGCGCAGCGGAATCCTGGTGATGGTGCAATACCTGTGGACTATTCTGGACGCGCAGTTGAAGGTACGAATGTTGCGTGGGGACGTTTTGAAACGGCGTGGGGGTTAAGTGGTTGGTTTTGTATAGTGTTTGGTTGGCGTGTTGGTGGCTGTACTCGAGTAGGATGCGCTGGGGAAGAAACGGCTTCATGCGTGCTGGTTGACCTTTCGTTAGAGCGTTTAGGTCCCTTCCATGCATTCACGCTGCTCGTCTGTGGACACGTCATGTCTCTGAAACCCATACCAGACGACCACATCACCAAATGTCGGCCTTGCAAGGCACAAAGCCAAGAACAAATGCGAATACGGCTGGAGACGAACAAGGCGGAGGTAATAAGACAGATATAGTAGTATTGTGGAGAGCAAAGGGCAGCTTGGACTCCGTCCATATTACCAAATCACTCTGAAACAGACTACACTTAGGGAATGCAACATGTAAATTCTGATCGAGAGGACAGATCGATAACGATGAGATCTGAAGCAAGCGACTCAAGACGGAGATGGGGAGGACTGCAAGGAAATCACGCATACGAGGGCCATCAGCAGGGAAAAGCAGAGGAGAGAGCACTCACGACCGGCGAGCTAGGTGCTAGAATGAAGGACACCGAGATGATCGTTGATCGCGACATTCGAGCCCCGCGATCTACTCTAGAGTACTACTCATGATGCTCCGGCCAGGGTGTTTGATCAGCAGGGTTGTCAACGTGTACTCGTACAAGGCCTGGACGCATCGGTCTGGTGACGCAGACGATCAGCGCGAGATGGTCGTTGATTTCTTTATGCTGCAGACGACAGCGGCCAGAAGCAAGATGTGTGGGGGAAGCCTAACGAAAGAGACGTAATGTAATCATAGTACCGCCCTATTATCAAGGTGCCAGGAAGATGATGGTGTAAGCCATGCCCGCCCGGGCCCGACATCCGAAGAGGCGCAATAGTGGTTAGGTATCTCTGTCGTTGGGCGCGTGGTGTTTTTCCCTCATGCGCGACACGATGACGACTTGGCAGGAAATAAGAAAGAGGGCGTTACGCTATGTAAGCTTAAAGATTGCGTATTTGGAACATGACGCGGGATGAGTCTCAAAGCAGGCCGAGAGCCAGCCACTGGGCTGATTCGCTCTGCCGAGAGCCGTAGGTAGTTACCTCGGGGCACAGACTGCCGGGCCAGTCGAAGGGTTTCTCGTACGAGTATTGAATAGATGTGACAAAGTCATGAATAATCGACTAGGCCTTGGATCCCTTGCGTGATGATGCTCACGGGGAAGGCGGGGGGCCAAGGTCCAAGGCAGAGTAGGCGGCGGGAGAGCGTCGCAACGGGGTGGATGGATGGGGCGAGGTGCATCTTACTCATTCCTTGGCAGCGGGCGAATGAGAATCGGCAAGGAAACGTCGGGATGACGGCAGGCGGTAGTGAAAAGCGCGCAAGGCCGACCGGCGTTTGGGCTCGAAGCATCTCGGCCTCTCGACATGGAGATGTGGGGAGGGCAGCAGGGCAGAGAAGAGAGGGCGCGGCGGATGATCTGCTCATCTAAGCGAGCCAAAGGCGGAAGCTCGGCCTTTGTTTTTTCTGCCCGTTTTTTCTTTTTCCTCGTTCCCTGCGCGCATCGGCGGGCCTCGACCTTCTGCGCAAGAGTCAAGTCACACGTTGCCTCGGCCCAGCCCTAAAAAGTCTCGTTGTTGTTTGCTGTCTGTTGCTGTTGCTGTTGCTGTTGCTGCTGCGCCTTGCTAGAAACAACCATGTACTCGTATACCTCTAGATCATAAAAAGCCGCCCGTGAAAAAAGCCAACCATTACCAGCCCCTCCTCTCCTGCAATCAACCCTCTCGGCCTCGTCGCAGCCAATCCTTGGCCTCTCGCATTGACCCGCCGCGCATTCGACCCTGCGGTCCTTGGTCGCGGCCTGACCCCACCATCCAAGCGCCCACGCCCGAACGAGCTAATTTTCCTCCAAGCCCTCCTGCAACACCTACATCATCGCCCGTCCAGGGTTCCCGGCGTTCCATATTAAGTGCCTGCCGCCTCACCGGGGCCCTTGGTTATATTTATTCCAAGCCACACTCCCGCGCTCAGTTTTTCTGGAAGCAGATCACTGAACATCACTACCTCCACTGACCACCGATTTACCTACAACTACCTCTCTCGGCTACCATTACCACCAACTCAACTCAACAATGTTCTCTTGCGCAAACTACGAGCGCGGCTGCCGCGGTCGCTGCAACTCCCCCCAGGGCCGTTGCTCCTCCTGCATCACCCTCAACCTCCAGGCCATCCGCACGCCCAGCACCTCCTCGGTCAGCTCGACCTCGTCGACCTCTCCCTACTCGGCATTGACCATGTCCTTTGCCTCTCTCTCGCAACTGCCCAAGGGCAGGTGCTGAACGGCCAACCAACCACTGCGCGTGTAACCACCCTCGCGTCAGTTCTTCTTCACCTACCACCACCACCACCACCGTCTTGCCCAGAGCATCCGGTGACCTACTTACCTCTCTCCTACCGCACCGCGCCGTGCCCGGAGAACGCACGGCCGGAAACCAAACTCACCGCTCGATCTACCTACCAACCATCCCATCTGATTCCTAGAGTCATGGATTTCCATTACTACTACCACCACCACTACTATTACTACCACCTCGATTGAGGACAAGAGAGAGAAAGAAAAGGAGCGAGTGAGCGCCATAAGAACATGGCACACCACCACTACCACTACCATCGACACGTTACGAGCTACACGACAGCCGCCGGACCAGTGATGGCACCAGGCTTTTTTTTTACTTTCGGGGGGAAAGGGAAACAGGGGCGCACTTGAATTTCCACTACCACCACCACTACTTTCGTCTTCGTCTTTGATATTGGCTGTCTTCTAGCTGCACAGCCTTTAACATTGGATGAGCGAGCCCCCTTTCGATCAGGGAATTTAGCGCAGGCGCTCGGGGTCGGAGGACTGCTTTTTCTACTTCTACTTCTACTTTTCATCTTCTTCTTCTTGGCACACCGCTGCTGTGGTGTCTGTCGCACACACACAAGCGCGATAGGGTTTCTGTTTCTTCTTCTTCGCATTTCCTTCGATTTCTTTCTTCTTTGATATCCCATTTCACTCTCGCTATACGAGACATCTTTTTTATTCGATCGATAGCAGATCTTCACGTTAAGACCTACCTACCTGGGTCCTTACTACATTACATACTACATACTACAACAACTATCAAATACCACTACTACAAACAACAACAAGATCCACACACACATCACACGTACATACACACACTCAATCGCTCCCGTCCCTCTCCCATGCCTCTTCCTGTGCCACAACTACAACAGCCAACACGCAACCACCAATCACCCCATCGTCACCACACAACCACAGCAATCACCACACACAGCACACCACAGCACAAGACTCCCGCGCCCTTGCAACCGCAACCCTCGTACTGCATACCCGGCACCCACCTCCGTCCACAACGCACCGACACGCGCCGCGCGCCCCACCACACGCACGCACGCATTGAATTCCTCGCCCCCAGCCCAGCCCCCCACCCCGCCCCCGCCCGTCTCCAGACCACACAACGTCAACAACGTCAACGTCCCCTTCGCTGCCATGCCATGACTCGCCATCATTGCACTCACCCACTTGGTCCATGGCAATAGATTATAGCGTCCCGTCGACCTACCTCCTTACCGGCTTAGCTACCTACAGTACCGGCCTAGCGGCCTCCCCTGCCCCGCTCCGCCACGTATGTATGTTATGCCCGCCGCCCGCCGGCCGCACGGAAAGGGACGGTTCCGCGCACGCAGGCGCTCGCGGGCGCAAACGCGAAGGAAGGCCGTGGCTGCGGGTGCGGGTTGCTGCGGCTTTGGCGACTGTGCGCCGTGAAGGGTCATGACATGTCTTGACGCTCAAGCGAAAGGAAGGAGGGTTGAAGGGATGAAGGAACGGCGTCAGAGGGTGAAGAAACAGATGGGGGAGGGGGCAGATTAGATCGCATTGCACGGCATTATTGGAGTGGGTATGGACTCGACTGCATCCGGACCTTGGTGCTGGGCCTTGGTGCTGGTGCTGGTGCGATGTGAGGGTCGTGCTGTGGGGACGTGGGGTGCGGCGTGTGTCATGGGCGCGGCACGTGGTGTGCGCGCGAGCAGTGATGTGCTGCGCGCGACGTCGTGGGCCATAGGAGTAGGCCACGGGATCGAGGGGTCGCGAAATTAGGAGTGCGTGAGGGAGGGAGCGCGCAAGGGAGGGGGGAGTGCGAGGGCGGCGCGGCGCCGACGGTTTCGACGACCGAGGGAGGGGAGGAGACAACCAACCTAGCTGCAAGAAGAGCACGCTGCGACTGCGCTCTCACATACCTGCCTCACATGCCTCACATAATATACGGGCCGTCACATTTCGCATTTCGCATTTATATAGGTAGGTAAGCTCACGAGCATGAGCACGAGCAACGGCACAGGGAACCCTCTCTCCGTCCCTCCACCACTCATCCCTCCCTCCTCTCAACCTGTCGTCATCCCGCCCGCTTCCATGCCCTTAGAAGTAGGTAGGTAACATCCCTCCACCACCACCTCCTCCGCCCATCCGCCCATCCGCCGATCCGCCGCCGCCGCACTGGACCGACTAGGGCAGGGTACGTAGGCAGCGTAAGCTACTACCCACGAGCATGGACGCACGCGCGTCATGCATCTCTGTTCGTTCGCGGGGACGAATCGGGTAGGCCGGGCTGGGTGGGCTGGCTGGCTGGGTTATGGGATGGGGTGCGTGTGTATGGGTTTGGAGGAGGGCGGGTCGGTAAGGCCTGGGGTTAAGGTGTGTATGGGTGTATGGGTGTGGATGTATGCTTGGATGCTTGGATGCTTGGGGCAGAAGACCAGAGCAGCTGCGCACTTACTACCTACAGTACCATACCGTGTTCGGCGGCGGGTACGGCGAGGCGGAGCGGTGACGGACTGTCTGTCTGACTGTCTGTTTTAGCAAGTCCCAGTACTCGACTCGCAGCCCGCAGCAGCGTGTGCTGGGCTTGCTTGCCTGCTTGCCTGCCTGCCTGCCTGCTGCTGCTACTGCGGCGATAGCTGCGCCTAGCCGTTTCGAGCGAGCGAGCGGTGAAATGGGGATGGGGGCTGCTTCCGGGATACTGGAGTTGGCGTGCAAGCAAGCGCCCTGGCGCGCGGGAGGAGGAGGGAGCTGGGAGTGTGGGGTCGACGATGCGATGGGATGGGTACTCTACCTTAGCTTGTGCTGGGGTTTATTTGTGCAGAGTGCCAGGAGTAGCTAGGTAGCTAGCTAGGGTGGATGCTGCATTGCTGCTGCTGCTGGCTGTTCATTGACGTCGTCCTCGTAGAGTAGGTAGAGAGGTAGGGTTAGTAGTGCCAGGCGCCGGAGTGCCTAGTTGGGTATTCCGGGGCGTGGGGGAAGAAGCCCATCAGCAATCAGCAGCAGCAGCATACGCACACACACACACATACGGAGTACACACGAAAACGCGCATCTACTACTACAGTCACAACGATCGGCACCGCGACCCAAAAAACAAAACAAAAGCAGGACCCACGCACGCTCTCATGCTCACCAGCGACAGCAGCTCGTTCCCGCTCACCAGCCCGCCAGCCCGCCAGCCAGCAAGCAAGCAAGCAGGCAAGCAGGCAAGCAAGCATGGCATGCACAACGCGCCCAAAACAACCTAGTGTGCAACCGGGCCCGCCCGAGCCTAGACCCGGCGATCGATCGTGCGCGTCGGTGAGCGATCGGGGACATTATTCATTTTTGCCCACCACACACAGCTAGGCGAGCACGGGGCAGCGAGCTGTGCCTGGGCGCAACGAGCTATGACTGGCTTGCTTGCCTGCCTGCTTGCTGCTTGCCTCGTGCTTACGTGCCTTGTGCTTTGTTGCTTGTGCGTAAGTACTCTAGGTACGTACTGCGTGCGTGTGCGCTTGTGCTTTTTGTGTGCTTGTGCCTTGGTTTTTTGGGGGCACGGCGAGCCAGTGCGCCTGTGCCTGCGTATGTGGCGTATGGGCCAGATGGATAGGCGGGCAGCGGGCGACGGGCAAGGCGACGAAGACGACGACGAGGACGAAGGCGAGGCGGGCAGAAGAGGCGACAGCTAGACGGATGCACGAGCTATGTGCGCCTGCAGAGCTGCTGCAGAGCTGGCTTCTTTCTTCTTCGGGAGCGGAGGCGCGTCCACCTAGGTTTCGCGGCGTCGGTGCGCCCGCGATGCAGGGCTGGCAGACAGGCTTCAGGTAGTAACCAGGCAGCCTCTCCTCTGCCTCTGCCTCGCGCTCCCCGTTGCCCCCCTGTCGCACCCTGTCACTGTCCGTCCGGACGTGTCTCCTCTGTCTCCTCTCCTTTGCCTCCCGCCGCCTCCGCCATCATGCGCGCAAGCGAGCGCGGGCGAGAGAGCCGCGTCTGGAATCTGGAGAGAGATTGCGATGGGCGAGGGGGCGGGCAGCAGGGTAACGGACGGTACACCATGCAACGGGATCTAGACGGGCGACGGATGACGGCGCGATGTCGTGATGACTCGACAGACAATCTTCTGGGACGTTTGGGACCGGGTCTGGAACCCGGGGCGGCGGCGGGCCTCCTGATTTTCGCAAAAAAAAGGCCATCATCGGCATCGTGGTTTGTTCGGTCGGTCGGTCGTGGAGAAGGTGGGAAAACAAAGGGCGGCCTGCGGCCACCAATGTTTGTCCAATGCGCACGCCCGCTTGTGCTGAGGGGGGATGAAGATCGGCAGGATTGCGCGTTTTGCGGGGGCTCTGCCGCCCTACTTGTACTTCCCTGCGTCGCGTCGTTGGCCGTTCGAGAAGGCCGCGCCAGATTAATTGATTGATTGAGTGCGCCCCTCCCCTCCCCCCTCCCCCCCGCCATATGGGGCACGGCACGCCGTCAAGTCACGCCAGCAGACAGAGAGAGCGGTGAAGCGTGCCTTGGCTGTGCCCATGGACATTGGACGGGTGCGGTGGGGAGTTTGCTTCGGGCGTACGCGTACGAGGGCCTCAATCAATCAATCAATCATCAGGAGATGGATGGCCATCGAATAGACAGAAGGCGGCGTCGCTGGCGGTCAGCAGGCGGCGAGGAGCAAGGCGGAGTTTTTTCCCTTGTGCTGTTTGATTTGCGCGCGCATCCTCCAGCCCGCGTCCGATCCAGCGTGGCGATCCAGATCGCACGTTTCGAGGTTTCCCATCAATGCCGTTGCCATGCCGCGGAGTTGTGTGTTTCGAACAAAGCAAGCAAAGCAAAGCAGAGCAAAGAACTCTAGCAGTGGTGGCAGCGCGCCACTTGTTGGCCGGCCTGACGAAAAAACGCCACGCGCGCGCCCCGCCCCGCCGCCGCCTGCCTGCCTGCCACTGCCAGTGCCCGCCGTGTTTCGTTTCACCTTCCCACGCTCCCTTCCCTTCCCATTCCTGCATCCTGACACGCGCTGCCCACCTAGCCTCCGTCGCTCTTGGTTCGTCGCTCTTCCATGGGTGCGTGGGCTTGCGCAATCCGCGTGCGTGCGTGCGTCCACGAGGCCCTCCGCGCCTCCCCTCCCCCCTCCCTCGCCACTCCTCCCCGCCCGCCCGCGCCAGGCACCCACCGCCGTTGCGAAGGCAGAAACGTGGGCCTTGCGCCAGGCCAGACTTGCCCTTTTGTTTTTTGCTCCTGTTCCTTTTGCTTTTTGCTTTCGCTTTCGCAATTCGGCCCTCTCAGCCTCCTTGGGCCCGGTCGAGACCGTCTTCCGCCTTAGGTCCACTGTTTTCGTCCATCATCCTACCGTGCCTGACTACCTACGAGTACCAGCAACCACGCCCCTTCTAGAATCTGGACGCCAGCCCTGTCCGATCTGGAATGCTTGAATGGATGACTCAGGACCGACTTTCTGCTGGGCTGGGCTGGCGCCGATGCAACAGCGCGATGCGCTCTGCCGCCTAGGTAATAACTTTGTTTTTTGGCTTTTGCTTTTGACTATGGCTTTGGACTTTGGCTTTGGACTTTGGCTTTGGCGTCCTGCCTCGTGCTTGCCTAGGCTTGGATCTTGCGTGCCGTGCGCCGTGCTCGTCGCGTCTCGGCTCTTGCGAGTGCGACTGCGGTTGTCTGCCTGGCCTGCTCACTAGAGTACCCCAACCCTGTCACTAGCTGTCTGTCCGCAGCCCGCCAGGCCGCGGCCGCGCTGCCGCCCGCCCACCCGTGTGTCCGTCGTCCGCCTGCTTGCTTGCTTACTCGGATGCTTACTACGTACTCTACGTACTCCTGCTCTACTCTGCTTAGGGAGACACGGGAGCAAGGGGATCCGTGGCCCGCTCCCCCGCCGCAGCCTACTCGTAGAGTAGGCAGGCCAGGCAGCTGACGCCTGACGCGCGCGCTCGCGCCGCTCGCTCTTCTTTCTGCATCCGCACTGCTGCCGCGGGGCTGGGGGACTGGGGGGCGAGCAGGTAGGGATCATGCATAACGAGGCTGCCTGCCGGCCTGGGACGCCGCGCGCGCTGCCCTTGCTCAAGCGAAGAATGCGAATGCGATCTGTAGCATCTCATCTATCTCTCTCTCCCTCTCGCGAGAGAAAGAGATGCGAGAGTCAGAGTCAGAGTCAGTCCTCCGCGCGTCCTCCTGCTGCCGTGCCATGCCGTGCCGCGCCTCGGCCTCCCGTCGCGTACCGTAGCATCGCGTCGCGTCGCGTCGCGCCAGTTGCCCTCTTAGGTACTCATGGGATGGGTCTGGACGCCCTGCGCGCAACAGCAGGTCTTCCGAGCGGTACTCTAGCACTCTACTCTGCCGCCGCGGCCGAAGGTTTGAAGGTGGGCTTTCTTTGGGTTAGCCATCGTGGTGGTTGGTGGTGCTCTAGGGTACTCTAGGTTTGGAGCAAGAGGCGCCTGCTTTGCTTTCCCGATTGGGTGGGTGAGCGAAGCGGGCGCCGGCCGGGCTGGCGCAGAGTGTTCCGACTGGGTGTGTGTTTGTGTCTACGAGTACGAGTGCGAGTACCGATGGATGCTTGCTTGCTTGCTTGCCGCTGCCTTCGGGGGATCTCTCCCAGAGTATGTAGAGTAGAGGATGGGTGAGTGCCCCGTGGGTGTGGGGATCGAGTGATTAACCTACCTACTCTAGCACCTTGCTTGCGAGCCTTGTGCTGCTGCTACGTGCAGCCTGGTAGCAGATCTTCACAGACTAACTACGCACTCTAACTAGTTCTCCAGTGACATGGCATGCGCTCGCGCACCCGGATGTTGCTTCTTCCATCCAGGAGGCAGGCAGGGAGGCAGCGGCACGTGGTCCAGGACATTGCTCATCTCAGCTCAGCTCATTTGCCCAGGCCCAAACCAGTAGTAATCACGGTGCAGCAGCAAGTAAGAAAAAAAGCAAACACCACGCCCGTCTATCTCAGCGCATGTCGATCACCGCTCCCTCCTCCTCCGGCTCAGAGACTTGCCGCGCCAAAACAGCATGATCTTCGCAAGGCCTGCTGCTTGCGGCAAGCCGATCCAGCTGTGTTATTAAGCCTGCGCTCCTCCTCTCGCCAAACGGATCCGTGGCGCGCCCCGTGGCGCGGCGGTCAAAGGCTGTGGCGCCGGCCTGAGCCCACGGCTCTCGTCAATGGCGTCCTCCTCTGCGCCGGGCGTTGAGCAGCGGCGGGGCGTTGGCGTGGCGTCGTCGCTGCCAGGGAAGAACAGCAGGTGGTGTTGAGCTGCACGCAAAAAAACGCGTAGAGGGCTGGCTGGTGGTGGAGCTTCGTAGGAGTGCCTTACCTAGGAGTAGGTAAGGTAGGTGGGTTATCCCCGGCGCCGGCGCCCGCTGCTGTGCTGGGGATAAAGGGAACAGGTGGTAGGAGAGCCAACGCCGTACGCATTACTCTAGGCACTACATCGCTGGCGCCCGAATTAAGCTCTGCTTTCCTTGCTCTTGCGCTGCTGATCGTCGAGGCCGCCGCCCCTGGTGGCTGGCCTCCCTGCCCGCCGCTGAAAGAGGGCGTTATGAGCAGCGGGCCAGCGGCGGCGGCGGTCTGGACGGCTCGGTCATGTGGAGGTGTGGTCGCCTGGACCCCCCCGTTTCACGATGAGCAGGCGGCTGAGACTGCGTGTCTCGCTCGCAAACCCTAGAGGAGCTCACCACGCGGTTTTTTTGTGGGCGCCCGCAATCTGCCAAGACCGGCCTGCTTTGGGCTCGTCGCTGGTGGGTGTCTCACCGTTGTTTTCGGCCGCTAGTGCCTGGCTCTACTCTACTCTAGACCAGGCCTATCTCCTGCTGCTCGAAGTCGTCGCTGGGCGGTCAGTTGGGCGGTCGTTGGTGCGGGGAAGGGCTGGATCGTTTGTGCTGCTTGCTGTGGTTCGCGTCTGTTTGGGGTGCTTGTACGACTGTGGTTCGTTTGCTCCTGGCTCGTCTTGATGTAACCGACTTCCTTCAGGGTCTAGACGGTGCATGCGAGGTGGGTCGTGATCGAACTCGAGGAATCGTGCGATTCTCTGTCGTCTATCTCCCTTCGGTGTTTGAGATGCGCTGGTGTAGAGGCTTCGTTGTTTTAGGGTACCGTTATTGGTGGCTTCGGCCGTAACTTACTGCTAGTGTGTTGGCTTCAGGGTCCGGCACGTGGAGGATTGGGATCGGTACGTATTGTATTGCTTGGGATACGGTCGGTAACGTCCGTCACCGTGGAGCGAGATTCACCGTGAAGCGAGATGGTAATACTTGTACGAAGTAGAAGAAGAGACCCAGCTACGATGTGTAGAGTCTTTGTATGCTCTAAGACCTTCTTATCTATATCTAGGACTCGGGCTAAGAGCTGGGCAAGAAGTACTTTGTAGGGACTGCTTTTATCGTCCTCTGTCTCGCTATACGTTGGATCTCGGTTCGCGACGACGGACGTTATTAGACGTACGGCATCTCTTTGTTACGTACTGCACATATGGCGATCATTTTTCTAAATGTTGACGAGAAAATAGGATATTTGTCATTATAAACAACCTACAATACTAAACGCCGAAAGCATTCGTCTAATCTCGAAACTGAGGTTCAAGGCATAGCAATGTATGCATCATTCTTTTGTCTCTGTTCGGCTGATCTCCCTTTCGATTTCATATCCCCAGCTGTCTCCGTTCACTGTCAAGTCCGCAACCTCCTGAGAGGCGCGATAGAGGTTGATTGAGCGATCGATGAGGAAGCGGACGTCGGGCTGGTCAGATGTCTTAGCATGACGAAGTCTAATAGGTCGCTAGGAAAGAACAGTGGCCATACTTACATATTTCAAAGCCATCTCAATGCGAAAGAACGCCTCAGTCCTTATACCTCTTTCATCTGTCACCTTATTCTGTACCTGCTTGAAGCTGTAGTGTGCCTCCTCAAGAGCCTCCTTGATCACCCATGTTTGCATGATCTCCGTCCAAGCAGTGTGGTTAGTGAAAGCTACTTCCGGCGCTAACTTCGAATTCGTACTGAAGACTTTGTCATCAATGAAGTCCCAGAGGTCGCTCCGCAGCCCTAGCCGCCATGGAATGTCCAGTCCATCCTCCACCTTATCATACACATTAGAGCTTTTGGGCTCAGAGAAAGACAACTTAAAGGTCGTATTCGGACTTCCGAGGTTTGTTATTGTCTGGCTGGAAGCAGCCTGGTCGGCTAACTTCCCACCTTCCACAGTCGCTGGAATTTTGCCATCTGCCCCGGCCTCTACGAGCAGCTCAGCAACCCTTAAATGACCATTCGCGACTGCAGCTTGTACAGCTGTACGCCCAATTTCCGAAGAAGCTGATGTTCTGAGATTGACACCTGCTTCAAATAGGAGGTTGACAACTCTCATATTCCCATCTTCCGCTGCGGTTCGAAGGAGTACCAAACCATCGTAGTTTTCTAAACTCCCATTGATGGCTGCATGAACAAGCAGTTGACGAACTATGTCGAAGCGACCACGTGAATAAGCACTTCGGACGGGTGTCTGGCCAGTTTTGTCGCCGAGGTTGATATCGGCATCAGTGTTTTCGAGGATCGTCCTCAGTAGTCCCAAGTGGCCTTGCTCGACTGCTATAAATAGAGCTGTCCTGCCACAGCTGTCTTGCACGTTGGGTTCCATTCCGTTGCTGAGCAGGATGGAAATTGCTTTTTTTCTCGAGTCGGGGTGTATCTTGAACCCATCAAAATTGGCGTAAGCTACGGCCCAATGCAGAGGGGTGCTTCCGTCAGTCGTAATTTTCTTATGGTCACTTCCATTCCGAAGCAGTAGTTCCATGGTTCGAGGATTTCCCGCTCTGGCCGACCAATGTAGGGGAGTGCTTCCGTTAGCCGTCCTTGTATTGACATCACCCCCAGCATCGAGAAGTAGTAGTGTCATGTAAACATTTCCCGCTCTAACTGACCAATGTAGTGGGGTGCTTCCATCAGCAGCCTTTGCATTAGAGTCACCCCCATTATTGAGAAGTAGTCTCGTAGTGGAACGTTGGGCCTTTATGACAGACCAATGTAGTGGGGTAACTGCCAGCCCATTTATAGAAAGGAGTGAAAAGCTAGAACTTGGGGTCACCTTCCCAGTGTCGAGGGTCCTGAGTATAGCGAGGTTATCATTGTAGTACACCGCCGAGGCCAATGAATCGGACCAGGTTGGCAGCTGTACTGCAGTTTCGCCCAGTGCTTTGCCGATGCTTCGCATAATTGTCGCAATTGGTATGATGCAGGACTCTTGGAGTGCCTCGGACCCTGCTATGACAGGGCCATAGATTTTGTTTTTTGTTTCTTCTGTGCCCACGGCCCAGGCGCCGCATACTCCAGGGCCTGTATATAATTCGTCAGCCTCGAAAGGGATAACATAAATAATCACGCTTACCAAGTGGCTCATACGTGTGTATGGACCATAGCTTTGTAGGTGTTTCTGAGCCTCTGAATTTGACAGAGCAAACCGAACCCGTGCCGAACGTGCTTTTGCCCCCAACGGCGACGGCAATTCGGCCCTGAGGCGGAGAATGCGCAAAATCTTCAAGGTAAACATAACTTCGGTTGCCATCTTCGGTGGGAATTTGTATCTCGTTTACTCCGTAGTACTTTGTGTCTTCGAGACTCATCAGAGCCCAGTCTACTATATCACCGGATCCATGAAGGTTTTGGTCGGCGATATAGGATACACTGAACGTGTCATTATGTGGCACCGAGGTGTTACCTAGAAGTTCCATTTGAGACGGATATAGGCAAGTGGGTACCTCTATTAATAGAGTTAGAAAGATAACCCGGCGGAGAGTTTACTGAGTTCTTACCATGTCCATGATGTACGTCACTTGACGTTTGAGATGGGATGCCATCGTCATCATTTACGACTATCTCCATGCTTTCGCGTTCAAGGATGTCGTTCTCCCGCTCCAAGTCGCTGTAATCATCGCTTTGAAATGCCCATTCGCCGTCAAATACTTCCATTTCTTCTTGAGAGTTGGGGGAGTTGGACATGCTTTCATGCAAAGGACCCTCCTGGAGAAATGGATGCGCTACGGTAAGGGCATAGTAGCGTCCATCTATCACCACTGTTCCGCCGATAGCAGCTTTCTTCTTTGTATCGTTGACAAAAAACTGTCTCCCACAAAGGCTGGAATGAATAAAGCCTGCATCTTCCATGACATCAACCAATACAGCAGTGAACTCGGCTTCTCCAGCAAGCTCTCTGACGTCCGATGTCTTTACACCCATCACTTTGAAACCGTCCTCCTCGATCTTGTTATCTTTGGCGAGCATTCGCATTGTTCGACGAAGAACAATCTTGCTTTCGGAGACGACCACAATAGTAGGATGTGCGTGCTGCTCATCAGGGCCAACCATCCAGCAGTGACGTGCCATAAAGGTATCCCGGACGTTGCAGTTTCGATAAATCTCTGGTTTCTCATTCTCCACAATTCTGTCCGACCTGGGAAGTATTTTTTTGTGCCATAACTCCAAGGCGAACCCTTTTAGGCTCCAGCGGCGTTTTCCCTTAATGCTGTTGATTTCTGTCCCAAACGACTCACTGTAGCAAGCTCTCGTAGGTTTCGTGAGTATGTTGGCTATTATTCCACCACGGGGTTGGGGGGTTCCTCTGACACCCATTGTGGATTCGCTATGTCGTTCAAAGTTTGATAGTAGGATCGATTTGAACTGCGCGAACACACAATGCTTTCATCGCACTACTTCGACATACTTCGGATTGAGAAATTGAGACGGGGCTGAACTTCTCAAACAAGGGAATCGTGTATTTTTATGGGCGGGAAAGATAGCCTTAGTGCTTATGCACTGATGTCCGATGTCACAGCACATTAGTGCAGCTGACAGCTTTTGGCTTCTCACTGCGCCTCCAAGCCCAGCTACATAGCTCCGCCTCCAAGCTTAGCTGCATAGCTCAGCCTCCTCACTGACCGGTCAGCACTTGGTAGCCGAAGCCTCATTAATCTCGCATTCTAATAATTAGTTTATCGTCCCTTACAGATTGTGTCATCACCCAACGAATGCAATCATGAGTACAATACCACTCCAGAATCTACATCCAAGTGCTACAGATAAAGAGCTCGATCGTCTCTTGTTGGGTCCAGTTGGGGAGGAAGGGCTGCCTCGAGCTTTGCAAGAACGGATTACTAAGCATCTATGGGCTGGCCCAGGTGTTTCAATTTCTGAAGATGTAGTTACACTCTGGAGCCAAGCAGCTTTTTTCGAGTATTTCAGAAAAGAAACCAACAACTGGACTTCGCACAGTATTCAGCCCGCAATCTCAACATACACAGACTTTTTTGGGCTCGTCCAACATCTACGAGAGAACTCCGAAGAGCCTCGCAACTCCCTCAAGTTTCAGTCGTTTTTCACACGTCTGAGTTTACGTCCGAGAAATACTACAGAAAGACACAATCTTGTTCAGCAAGCAGAGTCTGAAACTCTTCCTTCATCGGTTGAAAAACATAAAATGGAAGCAGCACTCGCTCTTACCGTGCGACTTTGGTTGATGGTAAGAGTCGATGTTGCAGATTCAACAGGTTTCTTCCGCAACCTAGACTATGAATGGCCTGAGAATGAAAGCTTGGAAAGAATGGTTAAAAGAAGGTTGGCGGGAAGCAGCTTGCAATTATCTCCAGCATATCGCCGGTGGCCAAAACATGTCGATGCTCATGCTCTAGAACGTATTGGAGGGTTTGATATCATCTGGACAGACGATTTGGCAGAGCACTTGGCATTCGACGATGACCTGCTAACAGTTTCACTGTACCATCACGTTGCTGTACTAGAAGGTCAAATACAAGGCACTGGTAACAGGTACGTATCGAGATTGAATGAAGAAGTAAGACTCCCACGCTAACGTTGCATAGCGAACATCTTTCTGCGGAGTTATTGAATGAGACACTCTCTAGTCTGGCACTGCTTCTTCCATGTCGATCACAGACAGCAAATTGGTTCAAAAGATCTGCCAAAGTGGCTTTACAACATGGTCATGTTATTGATGAGAGCGCGCCGGAGCTACCTAAATGTTCCCTAGGTTATAACCTCAAGGACTATACTCACTGGGGATATAGACTGAGCGTTATTGTCGAAGCATACGATAAGACACAACCGAAGGGAGCTTTACAGCTGTGGTACGACAGACGGAGTAAGGTTGAATGGTTCACTTTCTGGGTCGCAGTGCTTGTCCTTTTACTGACGATAACTTTCGGTCTCATACAATCTGTCACTGGGATTCTTCAAGTGTATGTAGCATACCATCCGCATCGATAGAGAAATCTCAACTTTGTTTTGGGATGCTTCGTGAACGAAGAAGTATAGAGCAAAGAAAAACGTTGACTTACGGCCGTCATAAACTTGTAAACAACTCCACAAACTTTCCCGGGCCACTATCGTGAAGAAAGAAGACACAATCATCCAAAGAACAAAATCAAAAACAATCAACAAATTGGCAAACGTATACAAGAAGCCAGCAATAAACATATCAATACCGAAACACAACCCCCCAACACTCCCACCTCCTACTTCCTAACACCCCACCCCTCCTCCGCCAACCAACCAAACACCTCCTCCACGCCCATCTGCACATTCCCCGGAATAAGGCCCTTACTAGGCGCCGGATCCGGGCGAGCCGCATCAAAAGCGTCAACGCGTCTCGTACAGCCCGCGCCAACCTCCAGCACAGTGCCAGCACCAGCCTCCTTCTCATCGCCCTCCAGCAGCCTCACCATCGCGTCCGCCACCTCCTCCGGCGTCGTCCACCGGTCCCCGCCCTCGTCCACATACGTCATCTTCTCGGGATGCTCTGTCCACAGCGGCGTGCGCACGACACCGGGCGCGACCGCGTTCACCCGCACGCCCAGCCGCGCCTCCAGAGGCGCCAGGCTCCGCACAAACCCGCTGATGAAGTGCTTCGTGCCCGCGTACACGGGGTTCGCAAACCCAGGCGACTGCCCCGCCACGCTCGAGACATGGAGGACGCGCTTGGGCGCCGCGGGCGACACCCGCGTCTCCTTGACGCTGCCATCCTCGGACGCCGGGTTCAGCCACTGCGCCAGCGCCAGCTGCGTCACCCGCACCGGGTGCGTGATGTTGATGTCCAGATGTGTGTACCGCCCGCCCGCCGGATCGTCGCGGCTCGCGGCGCTCGCGCCCGGCGGGTGCCAGAAGTTGCTCCAGTGCGGCTCGTACACGCCCGCGCCGGGACACACGATGTCGAAGGTGCCGAACTCGCGCACCGCAGTGGCAAACATCTCGTCTAGCGCTGGCCAGGAGCGCACGTCTGTCGGCACGAACACGGCGCGCCCTTCCTTGTTGCTGGCGTCTTTGTCCTTATGCGCGGATACCAGTGCCTCGGCTTCGGGCCGTAGCGCTAGGTCTGCGATTACGACGTTGCAGTTGCGGGAGAGGAGGGCGGTGCAGAATGCGAGGCAGATGCCTGTTGTATGTGGGGTCGGGCGTTAGCGTGGGGTGCGGTGGGGTAGTGGGCGCGGTGTGACAAGCAACGTACCTGAGCCTCCGCCAGTGACGATGGCCGTCTTGCCATTGACCGAGAACGGTGTCTGCGTTGCTGCTGCTGCTGCCATCTCGAGAAGCTCTGTCGATAGGTAGGTAGAGTGGATAGGTAGGCAAGTACAATAAGCGTCCACAGCTCGTGAAAGAATAAAATCAGAGAAGAAGAAGAAGAGAGAGAGGAAAGGGAAGACAGCTTGCCGATAACAACAAACCTCCCCTCCCTTCCCCCGGCGCGGGGTTTATATACCAGTACCCCGCAGCCGGTGGAGCGTGCAGCAGCAGCAGCAGCAGCAGCAGCAGCGCGTCGCACACAACTGTGTGCTGGCCTAGCGGACGAGCGTCCGCGCGCGGGGTCGAAGCAGCTCCCCGCAAGGTAGTCGGAACTCCTCCCCCACTCGGCAAACCTGCCGCTCCACTATCGCGCTGGTGGCGCGTGTCGTGTGTGTGGGGAAGGCCCTGGACAGTTCATCCGCACGTGACGCGGGGAAAACCTGTCTTCGACCACCCTAAACTCCACCAACTCCACCACAGCCCGGTACCGGGCGACACACCTTCCTCACCCAACAACCACCGACCACACCACTCGCAATAGCAAGCCCAAAAAAACTTGGTTTATGGAAATCAAAAATCTATTGCCTCGATCAGTTTTGCATCTGCGGGCTGACATGCTACTACCTAACGCGCTCGCTCGCCGCTCCCCAGCGGCTCACAAAACCCAGCCAATCAATTACTCGATCGAAGCCATCGACATCTCGTGGCCGACAAAAGCCTCTCTGCGCCATTGCCCCCCGAGTACCCTCCCTTTTTTACCCCAAACGATACTGGTCGCGAAGCCGCGATCCCAGAAACGCCATTACATGCATGGGTATCCTGCGCCGTTCGATGCGGCATCGCCGTCAGTCGTAGCCCAGCCAAGTGGACTGGGCGGGTTTTTTTGGTCTTTTTTTTTCCCCTTTTCTTTTCGTACTATGTTTTTCTGTTGGAATACTTTGTGCAAACGCATCTTCGCTCTTTCTCTTCCAGGCTGCACTGGCAGCTGGCGTACTGAAAGAAAAGGGGGGAAGGGGATGAATTGAATAAGAAAGACGAGTGTGCAAGGCCCGGGACATCACATCAGATTGGGATATTATCCATCCGCATATGAAAAACCGGAAAGCCAAAAGGTCTTGACCACACACCCACGTCGGGCTAGAGCTAAGGGGCCTTACATTGCATAAATCAAGCAAGCCTCAAAGATTGAGCACTCTACTGGGGTCCTTGAGGAATTCGCGGCGATACTCGGTGATGGCGGAGGCGACGGACTCGGCGTTTTTTACGTTCTGCTCACGCAACTGCTTGAGCACTTGCTTGAGGCCAGCGCGCCACTCTGTTTGTTCTTCCTCTGTGCGCCCGGGGTTTACAATCCCCAGTTGCACAAGCACTTTATCTTCTACATGGTTAAGCCGCCTAGAGTCAGCTGGAACGTGGTGCAGGGAAGGGCGGGAAAGGGGAGATGTGACAGGTATGGCCTTGCAACGCACCACTTAGTCCCATGGCGCGGAAGTGCTGTCCATCGCACTCATTGTCATTGCAAATGCCCCCTGCTAATTCGTAAGGACAGACTGGCTTGATGGGATCGATCTCGTGGCTGTAGGTAAGTGACCGAAACCCCCCGGGCACGCTCCGGGAGTATTCTGGATGATACCGATACGCCCTGAACTGCTTGAGTGGGCTTTCGTAGGGGGTAAAGCGCGACGGGATCGCCGGCTCACTGGGTAAGAGTGCCTGTGGACGTATGTATTAGAGGCGGAAATAGTGGGAGAAGGGGACGTACGGTTTGTGACGGCTGTAATTCCTGAGAAGATGGCGGCTGGAGCTCTGGAGCCAGGTCATCAGCTACGACAGCAACTTGGGTTGGAGGTGATCGGGAGAACCCCTCTGACGCTGACGCAGACACGGCGGGTGTGGGCTCAGAGGTTGTGGTGGCCTGAGTGTCTGCAGTGAGTTGAGCAGGTTCCAGCCCGGTAAGATCGGCAGGAGATTTAGTCCGGGGCGTGGGGTACTCGCTCGTGGGCGCAGAAGATGCAGCATGCGCTGCCTCTGGGATAGCGTCCGACGGCTCGTAGTCGTCTTCGTCCTCGTCCATAGCAACGTCGGACTCGGCATCAGCGATGTCGGTAGGCGCAGGCTTCGGTGGCTCTTGGGTGTCCATGTTCTCGTCTCGGGCAGTGATGTCATCATCCTCTTGGCTGTCTCCGAAACTGTACGGAGAATCGTTGGCGACCTGAGCGGCAGCATCGCCACCCGGAGCCTTCTGCGCCGCTTCGCCAGAGGGCTCGGGGGAATAGAAGTCTTCGGTGTCTTCTTGCTCCGACGATTCCGCGGGAAGGGCAGGCTTTGGGTCAGCGTTGACAGTCTTGGAAAGCTGCCGGACACTCTCACCAGTCACAGGCTCTACCGCTGGAACGGAAGCCAGCGGCTGAACTGGACTCGGCTCGTAATCGTCTTCAGCTTCGCTGTCGGACATCTCCATCTCGGCATCGGTAGTGTCGGATTCGTCTTCCACCTCGCCCTCGGATATATTTTTGGCACCATCCGCGACGACTGCTTCCTGTGTAGGCACCTGCGAAACATTGTCAAGTTTCGCCTCGGCAGGTAGGAGCATGTCGACGTCTTGACGCGAAGCATCAGTAATGGGATCTTGACTTTCTGGGGCGGCATTTTCCTGAGAGAGGCCTTTGGAAGCTATTATCAAGTAAGCATGAATCCGGTTGGGCAATAACGCGGCAGAACAAATGGTAGTGGGTCTTACCTTCGAGATTGGCAGCTTCAGACTCTTGCTGCTGCATGATCTCGTTCTTCTTAGCTTGAAGCTCCTCGTGCGGCATCCCCTCCGTGTCAATACCAAGGCCCTCAAGCTCATCGATAAGCTGTTCTTTCTCCAACTGCCGCTTGCGATTCTCTGCCTCAATCTGCTCCATTTCTCTCTTAAGCTGCTCGAGTCTCGACAAATTGGTACTGAGCCCGGCTTCTGAGGCAAAGATACTAGACTGAAGTTCAGCTCGTCTGCGCCGCCTCCACTCAGATTCGGCTGGTGATTGCGACACGCTGCTCCGATCTCCTACAAGAGAGACGCTGCGTTCCTTGGCGGCAGGCGCAGCCGTACCAGCAGGGCTTGTACCTGTATGCGCAGAGCGCTGGTCTGCGTGTGACAGAATCGGCATCTCATTTGCTTGGTACGTAGCTGACGGCGGAGTAGCGACGATACTCTGCGGAGCGGAAGCCGGCGCTGACTGCTTCGCCATCACAGGAGTCGAAGCGCGGCTGGATTGGAGTTTGGCCTTTTGCTGAAGTTGCCGCTCAGCCAACTTCTTTTTCAAAGCAGCAAGCTCTTCCTCTTTCCGTCTCAGATCATCTGCTGTCCCTGGAGTTTGAACGGCAGGGGTGGTGGCTTGAGTCGAGCCATTCTGGCCGAAATTGGGCCTCGACGGGAAGTCTGTGAGTGGCGGCAAGTTGCGCGCGGCGGCAGTCTGAGAGTAACCAGATGACTTTGCAGCCACCGGAGCAGGTTGCGTCTCCTCAAGATCATCGTCAACATCCATGTCGCTACCTTCAGACTCATCGTCACTCACTTCAATGATCAGATCCTGATGATCGTTCTCATATCTGCTTTGACCGAAGGGACGCTTGAACATCGAGGGGGTGGCGCGTTGCATGTCCTCAAAATCCGCCGCCACTGGCCGCTTACGCCCCTGGTTGATAGGAGCTGCGGGGGCAGGTGCCGGCGCAGGCTTGTTCGAGGCTTGCGACTGGGGCTCAGTAGACGTCATGAACAAACCAGGTATCCCTCTAGGCGACTGTGCATGCACGGCGGAAGGCAAAGCAGCCGGCGATTTCTGATCGACTGAAACTGCGTTCGTATCGACTGCATGGGCGCTGGATGCATCGTGGGGAGGAGTAGCAGTTTCAGTTGTGTTGATAGTCGCAGGTGTCTGCGCGCCGGTACTTTGATTGGCTGATCCATTTTGCTGCTCAACCGCAGGTTTTTGCCGTGGAAGCTTGAGCGCCTCAATCTTCTTGCGCAAGAGCTCATTCTGAGCGGCTTTCTTTTGGGCAGCAAGAGCTCCCGGATCGACCGGATCTACAGCCTTAGCAGACTCTGCAGGAGCGTTGGGCTTTGGCGCGCTCGAAGCATTCTTTGTAGGTTGTACCTGAGGCGCAACAGGCGCCTTCTCTGGAACAGCAGCAGGTGGCGCTGGCGGCTGGGCCGTCGAGCTTGCCTTGCCGCTCTTGGCCGCCATCAAACGCTTGATGTACTCGGCACGGTCTACAGGCGGGGATGTGACTTGCGTGACTGCAGGCTTCGTAGCAGGGATAGTTACCGTAGGTTTGCGGGTAAGCTTCGCCGAGGTACTGTCTTGCACTGGCGCGGCAGCCACGGGCACAGCAGGCAACGGAGAGGCACCCGAACTTGACCGTACAGCTGGGGCAGTCGCTTGTACCGGCTTCACAGAAGTAGACAAGGATATTCCTGCAGCGTTACCGACAGGCGCCGCAGCATGAGCGTTTACCTGTGGGGGAGGAGCGTTTGAAGACGCGTTAACAGGCTGCGCTTGTGTTAACCGGGGGGAGATCTTTGAAAGATGAACGAAAATCTCCCCGAGGAGCTTGGGGTCAAGATTCTCCTTGACCAAGTCTGCAAAACCGTAACCCTGATCTTTCAGGACCTTGACGAAAGCAATCGACTCCTCCCTCTGCTTTGCCAACGGAATGGATTTCTCACCGTTTGGCGAGCTCCTTTCTTCAGGCTTAGTATCTTGTGCAATGGCAGAAGAAGATTGCACGGACGGTTGCTGGTTCGAAGATTTCGAGTACTGGGATATATATGCACGATCATGTTCGGGACGATAAGTATCATAACCTCTGCTGCTGCGGTGCGGAAGCTCTCTCGAAGAAGAGACAGGTGATCGCCCGTCACGAGGTCTCTGCATCTGCGAGGATTCGGGCCTGTACTCATCGCGATGGCTACCGCGATCATACTTGCCAATCTCGCTCCCTAGATTTAGGTTAGTATAGATCGTTGAACTGGCGTTTTTGTGGCACCTACGCAACCCGTAACCACGAGGAGAGGCGGCTTCAGCCCCAGGACGGTACCTGTCGCCGCTCGCCAGTTGCTGATCGCGAGCCTCGCCTTGACGAGCTACACCCGAGCGCATTGCGTTCGAAGCCGTGTAGTCCGTCGCGGCTTTCGGCCTGACGTCGTCACTCAGCTCACCCTCCTCTTTGTCGCCTACCAGTTCCGAGACTCGATTGTTGTGCGCGGGAGGAGCCGGTTTGACCGGCAGCGTTGGTGGAAGCTGAGGGACAGACATGGCCTGGGGAGGTGGCACGGGGAAGCCAAGCGCCGGAGGCTGAAAGCCAGGAAAAGGAATGGGCGGAGGTGGAAGAAAGCCTGGCTGGCCTGCGAACGGCGGGGGAAAGACGGGCGGCGGGAGGGTGCCGTTGTTGAAGAGGGTGGAAAAGGTAGTAAAGTCCATTTGGTGAGGCAGCGACGCGTTCTGCTGGAAGGCGGCCGCCGACTGCGCCTGCGGTTGCTGCGACGGCGGCGGCGGCTGCTGCTGCGACTGCGGCGGCTGGTTTTGGAAGCTGGCCGGGGTGACGTTTGGCGGCGGCGGGAGGGGCATGGGATAGGAGCGGCCGAAGAACGGCGGCGCGGGCTGATAGTTGGCCATGATAGGAGATTCCTGCAGGTTAGCAGCAGAGGCGGTCACGTATGCTAGTAGTAACTACAAGTGAAGAAACGAGATGGCAGAGCGATGCATGGATATGTCAGAATCGCATGGGGCGCCGACAAGAAGCAAGCAGCGCGTCTCCAGGCTCGATGCGTGGAGGCGTGCGGGCTTGGGAGGGGAGGGAGATGGAGGCAAGATGGTGATGAGAGGCGGGTCGGGGGTGTTTGAATTTCGGCCATCATGATCGATTCTGCCCGGCACTGGTCCGTGCGCGCGCGAGCGAAGCACGACTGACAGCGCCTGGCACCGACTGGCACTGTTCACGGCGGGGGAAGGGCGGCGACAGGCCACGCTCGCATGCACACGTCTTTCGTGGCCCCCGTCACTTCCCGCGCGCCAGAGCCGACCACTCGACGCGCGACATTGACAACTGTTACTGCACAAAACTGAAAAAAAACCACGACGTTGCTTGACATTGCTGCGTGCCCGTGATTCGCGCCGCCGACCGGGGTTCCCTGATTGGCGCGCTGGACGTGCCCCCGGTGACGAGTGTTTTGTTCCCATCCGCTGGCGATCCAGCCTGTCCACCGCCTTCACGCAACCACCTACAACTCCCACCGGTCATGGATTGTACATACCCTCTTTGATCCGTGCCGTTTCTTTCCTTTCGTTCTGCGTCCACCTGCCGCCTCAGCCCGGCGGAATGCCCCTTGGTCCCGCTTAGTCCCCGAGTAAACAAGCCGTCGACTACGCGCCGCCATGACTTCGCCGGCGCAGAACGGTCCCCGATGGCGCATCAACCCGTTTAATCGCTCCTCGAACCCCTCGTCGCCCATGCCCCTCGACGGCGCCGAAAGACGCAAGTCCATGTTCGAAGGCTCGCCGCTGTCGCCCATGCCGTCGTTAGGTCATTCACGAAACCAATCCTCGTCTTCCCTTACGAATAATGCCTTGATACCCGCGCGCAATGACTCTCGCTTTCGCTCAAACTCCATCCGCAACAATGCGGCCGCCGCCGGAACCTTCGCCCCGAAATTCATAAAGTCGGAAGAGATGCAGAATGCGCCTCAGCTGGTGCGCGGGATCGAGGGGGAGAATGACTTCTCGGGCAAGCGATACGTCTGGTTGAGGCATCCAGAGACCGCTTTTGTGCGAGGATGGGTCGTCGAGGAGCTGGACGGCAACCGGTTACTGGTGCAATGCGACGATGACACTGTAGGCGCCACACTACCCGCTGTGAGACTCGAGCTGACCTGTTGTAGCAACAAACCGTGGACTCGGACAGCGTCGACAAGGTCAATCCGGCAAAGTTCGACAAGGCCGACGATATGGCGGAACTGACGCATCTAAACGAGCCTTCGGTGGTGCACAACTTGCACATGCGATACCAGGCGGACTTGATCTATGTGAGTTGGAGGCACGCGCATCGGTATGAGAGATGGCATTCTGACTTTGAACCAGACGTACTCCGGTCTTTTCCTTGTCACGGTCAACCCCTATTGCCCATTGCCCATTTACTCGAAGGACTATGTCGACATGTACAAGGGTCGGAATCGGGAAGATACCAAGCCACACATCTTTGCCATGGCAGACGAGGCGTTCAGGAACTTGGTGGACGAAGGCGAGAACCAGAGCATCCTCGTTACTGGAGAGTCAGGTGCTGGAAAAACGGAAAACACCAAGAAGGTCATCCAATATCTCGCGGCTGTCGCTACGTCAGACGCACCAAGGCGGAAGTCTACCGGTGGCAACCACTTTTCGGACCTTTCTGAGCAGATTCTCCGGACGAATCCCATTCTGGAATCATTCGGTAACGCGCAGACAGTACGCAATAACAACTCTTCTAGATTCGGCAAATTTATCAGGATCGAGTTCACTCGTGCTGGTCAGATTGCAGGAGCATACATTGACTGGTATCTTCTGGAGAAGTCGAGGGTGGTCCGCCCAAACGCAAATGAACGCAGCTACCACGTCTTCTACCAGTTGCTCCGCGGGGCTGACGCTCAGATGAAGAAAAGTTTCATGTTGGAAGATTTGGACGTCGGAGACTTTGAGTACACCAAGTACGGCAACGACGTTATCGCCGGCATCTCTGACATTGACGAGTGGGCGGCCCTCATCGACGCTTTCCATGTCATGGGCTTTACCGAGAAAGAACAGCAATCGATATTGCAAACAATTGCTGCCGTAATGCATTTGGGTAACGTCAAGGTCGTCAAGGAAAGCCTCCGCGCAGACCAGGCAGCACTTGATCCGGACGCGGAGGCGCAGGCTGAGAAGGTTTGCAAACTACTCGGCATACCAGCCGAGCCGTTCATGAAGTCTTTGCTTCACCCGAGAGTCAAAGCTGGCCGGGAATGGGTGGAAAAGGTACAGACGCCGGAGCAGGTTCGTCTGGCTCTCGATGCCCTCGCAAAGGGCATTTACGAGCGTAGTTTCGGCGACCTCGTTAGCCGCATCAATCGACAACTAGACCAGTCGGGAACTGGCGGCGATGACTCTCACTTCATTGGCGTCCTCGATATTGCTGGTTTCGAAATATTCGAGGATAACAGCTTTGAGCAGCTCTGCATCAACTACACAAACGAGAAACTGCAGCAATTCTTTAACCACCACATGTTTGTTCTCGAGCAAGAAGAGTACGCTAGGGAGCAAATTGAGTGGAAGTTTATCGATTTCGGGCGCGATCTGCAGCCGACAATTGATCTCATTGAGCTCTCCAACCCCATCGGTATCTTCTCTTGCCTTGATGAAGACAGTGTCATGCCCAAAGCAACGGACCAGTCGTTTACGGAGAAATTGCATCAACTCTGGCATGGGAAAACACAAAAGTACAGGCGCTCAAAGTTCAACCAAGGCTTCATTCTCACGCATTATGCAGCCGAGGTCGAGTACTCTACAGAGGGTTGGCTGGAAAAGAACAAGGATCCTATGAACGACAATGTCACTCGACTTCTTGCCGCGTCGACCGAAAAGCACGTGGGCAAACTATTCGCCGACTGCGCAGACATGGGCGACGAAGGCACATTCGGGCGAAGCCGCGTCAAGAAAGGCTTGTTCCGGACGGTTGCGCAGAGACACAAGGAGAATCTCGGGAAGTTGATGGGCCAATTGCATTCCACCCACCCCCATTTCGTTCGCTGCATCTTGCCGAATCACAAGAAAAAACCGAAGCAATTCAGCGCTCCATTGGTTCTGGACCAGCTTCGTTGCAATGGTGTCTTGGAAGGTATCCGTATTGCCCGCACTGGTTTCCCGAACAGATTGCCTTTCGAAGAGTTCCGCCTGCGGTACGGCATCCTTTGCAGTGACCTACCCAAGGATTATATGGAAGGTCAAGTGGCAACGAGGATGATTTTGGAGAAGCTCAACATGGACCGCTCGTTCTACCGCGTTGGTCTTACCAAGGTCTTCTTCCGTGCTGGTGTCTTGGCCGAACTCGAAGAACAACGTGACTCTCTAATCAGCAAGATCATGGCTCAGTTCCAGTCTCGCGCTCGGGGATACCTGACGCGCCGCGCCGCACACAAGCGGTTGTACAGGGCCGAAGCTACCCGCGTCATCCAGCGCAACTTTCAAGTCTACCTTGATCTCCAGGGCAATCCGTGGTGGCAACTGTTTGTTCGCATGAGACCGCTTCTGGGCGCTACTAGGCAAGCTCACGAAGTCAAGAAGCGTGATGAGATGATCCAGAAGCTGGAAGAACAGAGAAAGACCGAGGCGGATGAGCGCCAGCGAATCGAAGACGAGCGCCGCCGCGTTGAGTCTGAAGTCCAGCGAATCCAGGATACGCTCGAGAGTGAACGTGCTCTCGCCTTGGACAAGGAGGAGATCTTCAAGCGCCTCCAGGAACGCGAAGCTGAGCTGGTGGATAAACTTGTTGAGGCCGAGGCGGACTCCGAGAACTTGGAAGAGCAACTCAGCGCACTGATGATAGCAAAGAAGGAAATCGAGGAACAAGCCGACGTGTGGCGCAGGGAGCTGGAACATGCCGGCGACATCATCAGCCGCCTTGAAGAGGCCAAGCAAGAACTTGTCAACAGGATCACCGAATTGGAGCTTCAGATAACCGAAATGGAGCAAGCCAAGAACGAGCGAACCGAGGCCGAGAAACAGCTTACCCATGAAGTCAACATGCTCAACAGTCAGCTCTCCATCAAAGAGACCAAGTTGCAGGACCTCGAGGAAAAGCTGCTCAAGAACGACCAAGAACTTGACCTCAAGCTCGCCGAAGCCACGAAGGACCTTGAAGCCGCGAGGAAGCAAGTCAAGGAGCTCGTTGAAGAGAACCGGGAAATCAGGCAGCAGATGACAGACCTGTCTGCTAGCGCTACAAGCTTTGAGGACCTCGTCAGGCGCAAGGATAGCGAGCTGGCCATTCTCAAACAAGAGAATAAGCATTACGAGTCTGAAAAGGAAAAGTTCGACACCGAGAGGAACTCCCTCACCTCGAAGCACAACAACATTCAGAGCCAGCTACGGGAAGCAAAGGCCGAGAAAGAGGCGATGCAGTCCGCTAAAGCACAGCTTGAGCGCGAAGCCGCTGACACAAAGGCACTACTGGAAGCCAAGCTCTCTGAAGATGCCGAGGCAGGCGAGAGCCGCAAAATTCTTGAAAAGCAGGTGGAAGATCTCAAAGCTGAGCTCTTTCAAGTCCAGGCGGACCTCAGCCGTGAGAGGCAGTCCCGCGATGATGTTCAGATGCTTAGTGACCACAAGTTCAGCGAGCTCAAGGAACAGCACGAAACTCTCAAGGAGGCCAAGGTCACCATTGAGAAAGAGATGTACGTCCAAACGGATGTCTTGCGTCGCGCAACCGAGGCTCGTGCTACAGCTGAGAAGGAGCGTAAGGAATACCAAGAAGAGCTTCGCACCCTTCGTCAACAATTTCTCGACTTGCAGGAGGCGAAGCTGGAGGCCGAGTCTTCTGCGGAAGCGAAAATTGCCAAGCTGGCATCGGAGCGCCAAGCTGCGCTGCGTCAACAAATCGAGGCCAAGGAGAAGCGGTTGGAGGAGATGGAACGAGAGTGTGCTCGACTCAACAAGGAAGTCCAAGGCCTTACTCAGATGATCGCTGAGTCAGATACGTACAGAGCCTACAACGACCAACACAAGGAGCGGCTCGAGCGTGAACTGGTTACCATCAAGGGCCGCCTGACGGCTTCCGAGAACGATAACCGTGCCTTACTCAACAAGGTTCAGCAAAAGAATCTTGATATTGCTCGGTCTAACTCTCGTGCCGGCGAATCTTTGCGTGTGCAGCTCATGAAGCTCACTGCTGAGAAGAACCGGGTCGACGAAGACAACAAGAATCTGTTCCGACAGGTCGAAGACGCTCATCTTACCATCACTTCTCTCGAAAAACAAAAGGAGAAGCTGTCTCTTGGTTTGGAAGACCTCAACCATGAACTCACTCGTGAGCAGATGACCAGCCGCAACGCGGAGAAAACGGCATCGACAGCCAACCTTCAGGTCGCCGAGGCCAACCGTAAGCTTGAAACGGAAAGACAGCTGAAGAACCAGGCCCAAGCCAGCAACCGCACCGTCCAGCAAGCTCTTGACACCGCCAACACCGACCTGGCTGAGTGCCACAACCAACTCATGCTCCTTCGCAAGGTCTTCGAGCCCGATTCTGATGACGAGAAGGAAGACCCTGGTTCTTTCGAAGATGCCAAGGCCGACATCGACAAAGCTGTTCATCTCGCCAAGAAGGTGGAACAGGCTCAGTTGTCTGCCCGCCTGGCGAACGAGAGGGCGGTGAACGCAGAGGTCTTGGTTGAGGAGCTCCGCGAGAGATACGAGGGTGAGCTGACGGACATGGATGCCAAGCACGCCAGCTCTAAGCGCGCCTTGTTCGAGGAGATGAACCATCTCAACGGCAACAATGGCCGTCACATGCCTTCAGTGTTTGCTCGGGACTCGGAGAACAGGAAGCCAGGCACGCCTACCGGTACTCCAAAGCATCACCGCCACTTGAGCAGCGCTTCCGGTCGCTCTGACCACACTGTCGACACCGGAATGCTGCACAGCCGTATGGAACTTGCTTCTGAATTGGAGCTCGTCCAGAACCAACTGCAGATGTCCGAAATGCGCGCGCGTCACCTCCAGGGCCAGCTTGACCGTTCCAGGGAGCTGCAAGATGAGAGTCCGACCATGCGCCGGGTGCAGAAGCTCGAGCGCGAGAACTTCCGTCTGCATGACATGCTGGACGACTCGGCAAAGAAGGTTTCCGATCTCGAGAACAGTCTCCGCACTGGCCAGCTTTCGCTCAACGAGGTCCAGACGAAGAGTCACGAAGAATTGTTCGACCTCATCAACTCTCAAGAGCAGTCGAGGAAGAGTTTGATCCAGTCAAACAATGGTATCATCGCGCAGCTCTCCGAGGCCAAGACGGCCTTTGACGATCTCAAGCAAGCCAAGCGCGAGATGGAGGTTGATCTTCGTGATGCCAGATCCGAGCTGCAGGAAGTCAACTACGAACGTGAACAGGAGGCAGCCAACCATAACCAACTCCTTCAGGAGTTCTCGGACCTGCAGATCAGGCTCGATAATGAGCAATCGAAGCTGCTGGATGTCACCTCAAGCTTGAACCTGTACAAGAGCCGGTCGGATGAGTACTTTAGTAAGCTGGAACAGGCGGAGATTGCTGTGCTCAAAGCTTCCCGTGCCGAACAGTTCGCCAAGACTCAGGTTCGCGAGACCGAGGAGCAGTGCGCGAGCATCATGGCGGAGCGCAAGGAGATGGACGACACGATCGAGGATCTCCAACGCCAGGCTCAGCAGTACGAAGAGCGCATTGAAGATCTGTCTGCAGACCTCGAAAGTGCGCTGCAATCCAAGAAGCGTCTTCAGAACGAGCTTGAAGACTACCGCAGTCAGCGTGCCATCGATATTGAGGACACGGAGACTTCGATGGAGCATACCCGCAAGAAGTACCAGGCGGAGCTGTCGACTCTTACTCAAGAGCTGGATCAAGAGCGCCAGAACATCATCAACGTTCGCGAAGAAAACGGCCGTCTGCACGAGGAGATTGAGGAGCTGCGCGGCAAGTGGGACGACGAGTTGCTGAACTCGAGCACATGGGCCAAGGAGAAGGGCCGTCTGGAGATGACCCTTTCGGACATCAGCAACAGCCGTGACGAGGCCGTCAACGCGCACAACGATGCCCAATCGAAGATTGTCAACCTCCTTTCCCAGGTCCGCACTCTGCGTACGCAGGTCGATGAGACGGCTGCCGAGCGTGACAACTTGCAGAAGGAGAAGAAGGGCCTGGAGGCTCGTCTTGCCGAGGCTGCAGGCCGCCTTGACGACCTGGCCCGCTCCGAAAGCCCGAGCATGCGCACCGCGGCCGAGGTTGACCGCGAGCTGCTGGAACTGAAGTCGAGCCTCGCGCAGCAGGAAGACATTGCGTCGGCTGCTGTGGGCAAGATGAGGCGCGCCGAGGCGCTGAGTCAGGAGCTTCAGAAGGACATTGTGGCGGAGCGCGAGAATAACGTGCAGCTACACAAGGAGAAGGGCCAGCTGGAGAAGAAGGCCAAGGACCTGCAGCTGCGATTGATCGACCTTGAGACCAAGGGCTTCTCGTCGGCGAGCCAGGACGTGAGGTTCCTGCACGGCAGAATCAACGAGGTAAGTCTATCTACCCCCATCACCTTAACTACATTGAGAAAGAACACACCGACTAACCCCAGCGGCGGCACCCACAGCTCGAAAAGTCCCTCGAAGAGGCGCAGACGAACCGCACGACCGAGTCGCGCAGCGCGCGTGCCATCGACCGCCAAGTCAAAGACCTGCAGTCGCAGATTGACCGGCGGGAGAAGAGCAACGCGCTCATCTCGGAAGACCTCAACAAAGCGCGCGACAAGATCTCGACGCTGCTGCAGACGATCGACGAGCTGCAGAGCAGCGACTCAGCGGCTCTGCTGGCGGCCAAGCGCGCGGAGCGCGAGCTGCGCGAGGAGAAGGAGAAGAGCCTGCGCCTGGAGCGCGAGCTCGAAGGGTGGAAGGGCCTGCGGCTAGAGCGGCGCAGCGCGCTCGGCCTGCCGGGCGTGACGGGCGCGGGCAGCGACTACGCGGGCAGCCGGCGCGGCAGCACGTACGGGACGGGTGCGGGGGCCGGGGCAATTGGCCTGGGCCTGGGCGTCAACGAGTGGGGAGTGCTGGAGCCTCCGCCGAAGATTGGTGGCGGCATGGGCGGCGGCCATGCGGGCACGGCGCCCAACAGCTTCCGCTCCGGCGCCCGCCGCTTGAGTAATGGTTCCCGGAGGAGTTTTTTGTAGGTGCCGGCTCCGCCCTGGGGAGGGACGACGACGACGAGATTCAGCTTCTTCGAAAGCGGCAGCTCGTCGGCGACGAAGAGGAAGAGTCTTTGGGTGGGGGTGGAGGGGCCGAGCCGGTTTTCGGTGGCGAGGCAGTTGTAGGAGATGTGCGTGTGGAAGGGGAAGGGGATGTGGACGCAGATGTGGATGCGGATGCGGGGGAGAGAGGTGCAGGCGGCGTGCGATGGGGCGAGGAGTACCACTACGAGGGCGGGTACGACGAGTATGAGGGCCAAGGCGAGTATGAGTACGAATATGATGATGATGAAGGGGATGGGGCTGAGTGGAGTGGTGCTGCTTATGCGGAGGGCGAAGAAGGCAGTAGCGAGGACGACGAGGCAGCGCTGCGTCGGTCCAAGAGCCATCGCGTGCGGATCAATGTTCGGTCTAGGGCGTTTTTGTGATGATGGTGGGTGAGGTGGATGGATTGATGGATGGATGAATGAGTTGAGATGAGTTTGATTGGTTGGGGTTGGGGCTGGTGCGGAAGGGGCTTTAGGGCTGGTATGGTTAGGTCGTTTTTCCCTTTTTTTTTTTTCCTTTTCTCGTTTTCCTTTTCCTATGCTACCTATTGTGGTATGGTGTGGTATGGTGTTGGCCCGGGGGCTGCTTTTTTTGTATCCTATGCTATGCTGCTATGCGCTTTTCTCTTTTGGGATGGGGATGGGGAGGGGGAAGGAGGGTGCGGTAGGTAGGAGTAGTGCTAGGCTGGCGGGATGGGTAATGGTATGCTGTACGAGTGATAGTATGTTTGTGTTGTGGATATCTGTGGAGAGGGTTGCTTTTGTGATGCGGTGGTGAGCAGTGGATGTGAATTACTACATGTCTAATATGAACTAGGTAGTCACAACAGAATTTAGAAGTGAAACCCGGAAGAAATCCTGCAGTATCCAGCAGTGAGACGCAGAGCCGCAGCCACCCCAAACCGAGCCCTCATCGGTGGTCATTCACGTAGCCCTCTTTCGATACGTGCGACCGCCTCTGCGTATGCCTCTGCGCCTGCGTACACGTCCGCCTTTACGTCTATGTCGGTCTTCGGCTTCGCTCTTTCCACGGCCCGGCGAGTTTCTAACAAATCAAGTCAATCAGCACCAGCACTTCCACGCAAAAACAAGAAGAAGAAGAAGAAGAAGAAGCAGCAGAGAAAGCGATCCCACACGACCCACCTCTCCATCAAACGGAGCGCCTTCCACCTTGCCTTCCGCTCGCGATTCTTCTCCTCAACCGCCCTCCGCCGCACCTTCGCCTGCGCCCGCATCGGCCCCACCTGCTCGCGCACCGCCTGCGTCATGAGCGTGGGCCGCCCCGGCTGGCGCAGCAGGTATCCGCGCCGCCGCCACCGGTGCTTGAGCAGGTATTCGGCGTCCGCGGCTAGGATGGGGTGGGTCTGCGTGAGCGTGTAGGCCGTCTCGTGGGCGCCGGTGCGGAAGGCGCATCGTGGGAGCGTGAGCGACGGGCTGAGGTATGTGAGGATTTGGTGGCGCAGCTCGGCTGGTAGTGTGAGGAGGGCGGGGAGGTACGGGAGGGTTCGGGGTGGTGGTTGTAGGTGGGCGCGCGCGGCGCGGCGGGTGCGTGATGTCGTCATTTTTCTGTTGTTGTCGTGGTTGTAGGTAGTTGTTGATGTGGGAGTGGTGGAGTTGACGGCTTGCTGTTGGGTGAGAGGTGAGTTGGTTGGAGCGTTTCTAGGATGTGGGGGTGAGAGGTGAGGGGAGCTTACAGAGATGTTGGTGGGATGCGCTGAGGGCGACTGAGAGAGGGTTGTCGGAGGGGAGAATGGTTGGTGTGGACTAGGTCAAAGCTCTTTGGCGTAATCAAAGCTGGGGGGGAGAAGCTACTCACTGACCGGCTTGCAAGGTATGGAGCCATACCGGATTGGGATGTCTGTAGTGGGTGAATGGGTCGATTGGTGCAGTTGTGATTTGGTGATTGCTCAGTGTTGGAAGGCTCGTGTTGTGGCGTCGAGCATGTTCATGAGCTTGGATTGGCGGGCTGGTAGACGCAGAATACCCTCATGCTCGGCACTGTCATGAGGTGCATGTAGTAATAGCCCTATATCGAGTTGGAGAGCCCGTGGTTGCTATCATGGAAAGCGTATGCGTCAGTGTTTGGCGTGTCACAGCCCCCTCGACGAACAACCATCTGGCAGCTTGCACACGGACTTGATACCATGACGCCGATTCACGGCAGTCACCATCCTAAGTGGCTTGTCAGTGCTGTGTTAAGGATGTTCATGGTTACCGGGGGTGCCGTTGATGCAGGCGCCTTCCTAACACCATCCGGCTGCGGCCCGCGTCCGCCGCCTGCCTTCATAAACCTTCGTCCCCCCAGTCCCCACGACCTCCTTCACAAACCTTGCGACACCACGGCCCTTCGGCCTCCTCACCCTCAACACCCCACTGTCGCTTCAACCCGTCGCATCAAGTTACATCAACATCAACATGACTTCCCACCGCGACTCGTTTCCGCACTTCCATAATGGTGATGTTGAAATCGCCCTTACCCCGATCAACTGCTTGAGACTCCACTCCGACATCCTTCGCGACTCGTCCCTTCATTTTGAACGCCTTTTGACCGATGAGAATGCTGCCGTCCTCTCAAAAGCCGCTCTCAAGAAAGGCATCACCGTTCGCTGGCGCATCGAGCTGATCAATGTCCCGTGGAACTCCGCGCTTGAGGGCATCGGCGAGCTCGTATCCTTCGTAAAGCTCACCATTTCCGCGCTTGTAGTCTTAGCTAACAACATTACAAGCCTCTTGACAGCAAAGGAAACGTTGTCAACTCAGACAACCTGCCACGTGCTTCCATGCACTTCGAGGGTGCCTCCAAGGACCCTTCCAGACACATCGTTGACGACTGGTACTCGGCTTTGGGTGCCATCTATGGCTGCGAAATCGATATTGGCAACATGCGTGACCTCGGCTTGGTGCTCAGCCGCGCATCCAGCATTGTCAACATTACCGAGTACCTCCAGTTCAAGAAGTCCATCTTTGCGCCCATCGAGCTGGCGTTGTTGGCCGGCGACCAGATGCTCTGGCGTAGCGTCAACAAAGACCCCATCACGTGGATGAGCCTGGCCTGCCGGATCCGTTGCTTCCCCATCTTCCGTGAAGCCGCGATCCACATCATTGGAGATTGGAAGACCTACTCCGCCGCAGAGAAGGCGTCGCTAAGCCCTGAGGTGCACGATTTCTGCAAGCGCAAGGCCGATAAGTTCGCCGACTGGAAGGATAACCTCGAAGTTCGCCTCATGGAATACCGCCCCAAGAAGATCGTCTTCCAGCCCGGCATGCTGCCTAAGGGCAAGAAGGATCACGAGCCCGATGTCTTCGTCTGGCAGACTGTCACGCTGTTCAAGGACTGGCTGATGCGGAGCTTCCGTGAGGGCATGGGCGCGAACATGGCCAGCGACGGCGGGTACGGGCTGTACAAGGTGCTATCCAAGGGCAACGACGCGTACCTGCCGCTGATGGAGCAGAACAAAGTCTCGGCGCTGACTGCGCCCGGCAAGGCCGTCATCGCCGACCTCATGCGCGAGCTCAAGAAAGATGTCAGCCAAATCGTTGGTCCCGCCATGCTCAGCGAGCTGCGCCTCGACATTAAGCAGTGGCCCCCTGGCAAGCTCACGTGCTTCACCATTTTGCCTCGCCAGGCTCCGTGGGCTGTCCGCACCGCTAGTCGTCGCGGTACGCCGGCTTCGCGCCCTATGCCTACGCCTGCGCCGCGCCCGCCGCCTCGCATGCAGCGTTACGACGAGTTTGCCGACGTTGGTGATGATGATGAGGAGGAAGAAGAAGAAGATGAAGACGACGAAGGAACCATCCACGACGACTGCGAGGAGTGAGCGGTGAGGATGTGGATGGGAGGTTTCATCTACATCTGCCCGAACTTGGAGGGTTCGCTGTAGATTTTGCTGTACATTATTCAACTTCAGGGGGGTATCTAGTGGGCGTTCAAGCGGGGGGTTGGTTACGGCGGCGGGTGGATGGAGGGTGGGGATATTGGCTTGCTTGCTTACCTGCTCATCAGGCCAGTCGCCGTGCATGCGCAGGCATGCCTGGGCCTTCATCAATCCTGCGGACAACTTCGTCAGCACGCATACATACATCGAGCTGGAGGGATGGCTAA